GACAGTTTGCTCAGTTTGAACATTTCCTGCTTATTATCACGTCGGCTCAACTCCACTTCATGCAGAAAATCTAGAAAAGAGAAGCAAGAGGAAAACATGACAAATTGCTCCCACGCTCCCTCCCATCGTACACCTGGTAGAGGCGGTTTCACTGTTTCAAACACAGATCTTTCAAAACGTAATAAATATCACTCTGTTCTTTGTGGCAGAAGATCTACCTGAGAAAAACGTAAAGTGGCTGTGAAAAAAATCAGTCTGTTTACGTTCACACATGCATAATTAAAGGAAGATAGTGGAAGGAAGCTCCAGGGTGAGAAAAACTGAACACTCAGCCATTTATGATGTCGAAAACTCTGACTAAGCTAATGCTAACAATGCTAACTCCCACGCTCAGTTTACTCTTTTGAGTTTTCTGCACATCAGACCAGATAGCTATCAGTTAAAATTCAGTGACATAGTGGATATTCTTCAGAAATGTTGACAGACCTTGAGGATCTTGAGGGTTTGAAACGGGTATTTACTGTTTTCAGAAATGCTACTTTTATCCACACAGAGGATTCATCATCTTAGAAGTGAAACTATTTGAGTTGCAGCCGTTATGACAGACAACCTGGTAGTTAAAACAACAGATCACCAAAGCTGGAATATGTTGGAGTTTCTTAAAGACTGTCCAGCTGAGTCTTCTTCTATTGTTTGAACGAGCAGGCAGTGTAATGTTTGGAGATGTTAGCCAGCTCTGTCTCCGTGTCATGGCTTTCATTACCCGCCTGTCAGGGAGTGAAACACTCGACTCCCTGCACGTACGATATTAATACTCGTGTTGCATTCTCAAGAAAACAGACTGAATTCCTGTCCTCTTCTGTCCGGCAGATGTTACATGGAGCCCTGTGGTTTTCTGCATCGCTTCATGACGGTGGTATTGAATGTTTAATAACCTCAGTTTGGTTTTGTGTTGATTTTACAACCCGGGAGTTAGTTTTCATCCGGGGAGAGGGGGAAGCAGAGAGAATCGCTCCCATGAAAAGCTGAGCTATTTCTGCTTAAGATATGACAGCAATGATTCATTTAAAGTTGCTGATCATTTAAACGAGAACATCAATGCAGCGGTGAAAAGAAGTGACAGGAGGAAGCAAGAGAAGCAAACTGAATAAATACATGAAACTCTGCAATTCAATTCTTTAGTGGCATTTTATTGTCTTCAATGAATCAGATATATTGATGCCTCATTATAGATCAGCCGTCTTACAATATATCAATTATATAAGACGAACTGTATCGCGCTATTAGTGTTATACTGGGCCTCGTGTTGTATGCTACCATACTGTACTGTAGCCTACCATATTTCTTTATTTATTTAACATGCGCAATAAACATTACTTCATATGTTAAATGCAAACTAGAAGCCATGCATAAAAGTTACTAGCCGGGCTAATTTGCAACCCCATGTCCCTGGCTCAGCTTTTAGAATTAAAAACAGAATTATTAGACTAAAGAAAAAATACAGAAACAGTGACGCTGTACAAAACCAGACATCATGAACTCGATACAAACAAGAGACTACAAAGAAGTTTAAACAGTAAAACATTGATTCTAAGAGGAAACAGTTTCAGACACTGTTTTACAACTTTTGAAAAGTTCAGATGGTAATGGGTACCAGAGGTGTGTTCCTTCGTCTTACTGAAAAAGATGACTGACCAAACGTAGCATGGCGAGGTATTTCCCCACAACCCCACGATGATAAACATTCAAGAATTCAGTGGCCAGACTTCTTTATTGTTGAGAACAAACACTTGGAGCACATGACGATATATTGGTGTTTTGATTTTTCAGCACAGCTCTGTCGTAGCAGGCTCTGAGTTAGCCCGGGATTCCAGCCCGGACGTGTCAGTCTAACAACCTCAAGTTAAACTGTAGCTCAGTGTTGTATCTTTCAGCTCTTTCAGCTTCTCTTTCCATCCTAGCATTCTTTTTTCTTTTTTTTTTGATGGTAAATTCAACCATGACGTCCCCTGTCTGGTCGCAGGGCTGTTCCCCTACACGCTGTATCTGTACACACTGCTTAGTTCCCCCTGCAGCCTGTGCAATGCAGACGTTAATGGCGGAGACTGAATATTGATCTTCTGACTCTGCTCAGCTCTCTTGCTGTTAATGAACTCTTCTCTGGAAGCTCCCTCTGCACAAAGCAAAGCGTGATTGACACATCTGTGCTAACCTCTCAGCGTGTTTCCCTCCCCCCTCGGGGTGGAACGGCGAGTTCAAATCATCTCAATGCATGCATAAAGAGAACTTCTGAATTTCCCAATGTGTGGTTTGAATATTAAACAGCCGACGCGAGGCCTTTTTTATCAATGAGTGTCCAGACGAGAGCACTGGGTTTCTGTTGCTGCACTCTGGTCGTACTTCCTCCTGATTCTTCCCATGCATGTGTCGTCATACGAGCCCAAAACTTTCAAGGATTTGTAAGTTTTAAAATGCCAGGGCTTCTGCTTTATAGGATCATTTTTTAAATAAATCTGAGTATTGTAGAACCGGCTGGAAAGCCCAAAAAACGCCCGAGCTAGTTCCTGTGTTTGTTTGTATTTGTTCTTTGTATTCATTGATATCACATTCCACATGAGCAGCTTTAGTTCGACTCTCTTCCTGTTGCTGTTCTGCTTTGTGTGGAGCCTCGTTGGGTTTTTTTTTTACTCACTTCCCTGTTTTGTCGGCTGATTGGCCAATTGTCAACGCCTGTCTCGCTCTGTGTATCTTATAGTTCAGACGGTGTTATGTAAGCTTGTCGTCTGCTTCACCTTGGTTTTTGCATGTCACGCTTTATGCTTCAGGCAGGTTCACTTCAAAAGTACATTTTTTTGGATAGTGAGCTCGTCAAAACAGAAGGTAGATCTCCTCGGTCTGCTCCACTGAGGTAAACACTGATGCTGTAGGCTGGAGGAGGATGTTTCTCTATTTAACGTCTATTTGCTCTGTAAATACAGATCTATTTGAGCATCGCTCTGAGTTTCATTTTGACCCAAACATCCTGACCTTTCATCTCTGCTGTCAGTGTGCAAAAACACAGCTGAAAGAAAACACACACTCGTGTTGTGTCACCCAAACTGCTGACTGTGGAGCACTCCAGAAACCAGGAAATATCTGCACCCAGTCTCCAGGCTGAGGTGAAGCAGAGTTTGCCCCTGCACATTTAGACAAGAATGAGGATGAACTTCAGCCTGTGTTTTAGTCGGAGTAGGGACTTTATGCTGCTGCTTCACTCCTAAAGATGCTGAGTAGCAGATTTTACGATATCCTGTAAAAACAACAGAACAAGAAGAACCACTGTTTCAGTCACAGTTTATGTCTTCTGTGTTGTTTGTTGCTACAGTCTGTGTGTGGCTCTCAGATGATCTTTGTGGTAAAATAAGGTGACCTTCTTTAGCTTGAAGCCATGATCTGTATGTTCCCCGCTCTCGCTTGAGAAACAGACTTAAGGAAGACAATGAGGAAGTAAAGTCATTCTTTTTCTCTTCTTAGAAATGACAGGAGAAAGTTGAACCCATGAGCTGTTGTAATCTATTCCCTGGTATTTCTGGTTCTTCCTCTTGGAAAAAAAACAAAAAAAAACAACTCATTTTTGGGTGACATCAAAGCCACATCATGGAGACCTTAAAACAAGAACAACATGGCATGGGAAAAAAAAATACAAACGCTTAAAAATTAAGTATTCCAAGGAAATGTCTTCGACTTTTGTGCTGGCTTCACAGAGAAACAGGAAGCAGCAACAGCTGTCAGCTTTTCAAAATTAAGGCTTTTAAACTGAAGTGTACTAATTATGATCCTTTCTCGTCTGAACGTCGTCATGGAGACGATTTGTTGACACTTCTTACAGTTCAATCTGAACGCCTTCAAAGCGAGACTGCGAGTTGAGAATGTTTTTTTCATTCATTCAACCTTTATTTATACTCGAAAGATCATTGAGGGGCAAACCCTCATTTACAACGACATCGAGTCATTACAGAAATAATTAGAAAGCAGACATTAAATCAAAAAGAAAAACGGGACAGATAAAAACAAGACTTCTAAAATCAGTCTACAAAAGGCTAAAATGTACAAAGATAATTAACCGAGTACAAAACTGCAATAAATAAACACACTGATGTAAAACAGTTACAAACACAGGTTGGGAGGTTTAAAATCAGGTTTCTAAAATGCCCAAAAGGTAAAAGTTCATTTCCCTCAAGAAGATGCTGTATGTTGTTCTTAGAGTCCGGTGCAGAATAAGAAAAAGCAGATTTTCCCAGTTCTGCTCTGACTCGAGGAACATTCGGTAAACGTCTTGAGGAACGTGTGTGGTAACGCCCAGTCGAGAGATGTACGAGTTCTGTCAGATATGAGGGTCATTTTTCTGTGAGTTTAAAGTTCCTAAAGATCTTTCTTAATCTGCGCCGTCAGTCCGATATCCGATATGTGAATTACGTCATTATCTGACCCGGTAACGATATTAGATCGGATCGGTCCGATCTCTATTTGAATTTATTGTGATCCTGTCCTTTGCGATCAGAGGGGTCGCTCTGTCTGCTGTCACCTGTTGGATATGTTAACATGATTTAGTATAGAGTGATGGTGGTTTTAGGATTTGTCATCGCTCATATGAATAATTCAGAGAGACGTTCTAAAGCGTCAGTGCAAGAGGACACCGGTTTCTGGTTGCGTGGTTACATCAACACACACAGCCGTCCGACTCTCTCTCATTTCCACTCTCACCTGTTCTCCAGTTTGATACCAGTCGAGCTCCGTTTTCTAACGTTTAATAACCTCCATTACTGTCAAGTCAGACATGGCAAAGACGAGCATGGTGGACCAGAGGCTGCTGCGAGCTCACCTGGACGCTATGCAGACGGTCCGAGCGCTGCTTGTAGAGAAAGCCTTCACGGTGATGTCATCAGAGGATTCTGTCGGTTTTTTTTTCACCCGCTGCTTGTTCCCCTTATTGATCTTTCTGCATCTTTTATGTCGTGCAGGGAGAAAAAAACAATGGCTTCGACGTGCTCTACCACAACATGAAGCATGGCCAAATATCGTCCAAGGAGCTGACGGACTTCATCAGAGAAAGGTAAGACGCTCGGCTCTGATACACAGCAGGTCGTTTTATTTCTTTAATCAGTTTGTCACAGAGCGGATGGAGAGGGACAGGAAGTCACACAGCGAAAACAACAGGAAAACATCCGAACAACAAAAACAAACAACAAAAATGTTACAAATGTGTTTAAGTACAATGATTGGAAACATTCATATATTGCAATAAAAGAAGAAAAAAGAAGAAAACATCCGGTTAATTTTCAAAATAAACACTGGATCGTATTCCACTTTTCAAAAACATCATAATACTTACTGACTCATGTTAGAAGCAGACAAACCTCCACCCTTCTTCCACTCCTTCGCTCGGGCACAATGACCTCAGGTGTGTTTTGTTGTTGTTTTTATACCACATACATAATATTATCTCGTGCTGTGATTCTGAAATGATCACTGGAACTCCTTGGTCTCGTGACTCCAGCTGTGCGGCGGAGCTCCTCTCTGAAAACGCCGCCTCTGGGTGTGGACGTATGACGCAGCACAGAGCTGGCATGCGGTGGAAGTTCAGGGTTAGAAAAAAGAACAAGCATGGGCGTGATTTGAAATACTGGATTTAGTGTTAGTGACAGCATGTAGCCTTCACTACATGACTACATCACTTACTGTGTCAGCTGTGACGCTGCATCAGGTAAATGTTTATCAGAGAGTCTCCCTATTGTAACACAAAGTCTCCTCGAGTGAATCTTAGTTCACCTGTAACCTTGCTTTGTGTTTTCACCTTGATCATCTGCAGCTATAATAGCAGCATCTACTCCGATTCTTCCTAACTCCATGAAGATGAGCTTCAGCGTGTCGGAGGTGGTGCTGTGTGTTTATAACCTGCCACATGATGGATGTTCTGCCGCTGGAATCAAACCGTGGATTCCTCCGTCGACCTGATGTTGAGGAATGTTCTCAGACTCTTTGATATAAAACCTTTGTGCGTCCGATCAACTGAGTTTATTCATCGATGTTTTGACGCTTTGATTGCTAATGAACAAAGACGATAAAGAGGTGAACAGTGAATTCTAGGATAACGCCGTTTCTGCACACATTCAGCACGTCTGAAGTTTTTACAAAACCCCACTCATAAGGCTTAAGGTCATTGTTTGAACCCTCGAGGCGGGCTTTGCTGTAATAAATCACCTTTTAGCTTTTCATTTTGAATACATATTAACACTCTTTGCAGTCGATGGGAATGTTATTGTTTATTGTTTACTAAGGAGTTAATGAATGACTCGTAGAGGACGCAGAAAGTCCGCTGGAGGGGGATTTATTTTGCTTCACTAGATTTGTTATTTTATTCTAGTCACAGCGTCCCAGTGTGTGGGGTCTTTTCAGTTCACATTCCCTTCTGAAAAACTGCACCATGGCTCCCTCTGGTGGACAAAGATGATCTGTGTATGGTGTCATAACTTTCAGTGAAACGCATTTGTGATTTAAATTATATAATTTATGAGAGTTACACACAGATTAGTAAAATCTCTCGTCATGCTGTGTTGGTGCTTTCTGCAGCATAGCAAAATGCAAATAAAAAAACAACTGCACACGTCCACTTCAAGTAAAAGAAGAACTGAGAGTAAAGCGGCAATGACAGAAGAGACCTGAGGATGATTAAAATAGCCTTAACTTCCTGTTGATGTACTACAAACAGACAAAGGTCATTTCTGTTACAATATCTGGTTCAGTTCAGTTCAAACTACTTTATTTTCCCTCTAAGTGGGAAATCGTTTTCATCAGTTTTCATATTAAAGACAATAAATAAAAACACAGCTACATACAGAAAACAAAGAATTATATATAGGAGCTAAACTATGAAAAAAGAAACTCAAATAAATACTGATGTAAAGCAGACGGATGAACGAATAAACAGACTCAAATAAAACAATAAATGAACCAGTCCTGGAAAAAAGAGACAAATTCCATAAGAAATTAAAGCCTGACTGGTACGGGATATTACAGATATGGATATCAGGAATCTCTCTAATGTGTTGTTCATTCTTACATTTGTCTTGTAATCTGTGTGTCATGATGGATGTCGATCTTGCTGGCTGCAAAGAAATCTCTCTATCGATGTTTTCAATCTGTAGAGCTAGAGAAACACATTTATTGCATTTATCTCGCAGTTATCAAACACTTGTGGAAAACATATTTAACAAAGACAAGATGTGTCACTCAACTTTAAAGTGACTGCTCATGTACTGAAGAGTGATGACGCTTGTTGTAATCCATATAGCGCCCTCTGCTGGTGAAAGAGAACTGCTAGTGTAATACAATGATAGAAATAAATGATTTGACTGGTGAATAAATCGAGTAATATCTGAGATAAAATTAGCCGATACTGATAGTCACTGGATAAGATGATAAATGGCTGGCTGATCAATTGGTCTGGCTCTACAGGAAATATATCAAAATTTGTATTACAATGAGGGCTGTCAGCATAAGTAAGGTTAATTGTGATGCAGTTAAGGTCTAAAATTAATTAATTCATTCATTGCTGCTATTTTGTCCCTTTAGGGGCACCGTAGATAGTCGTCCTCAGTGTCTCCCTGTAGTCTCAGTGATGTGAAAGAAGGATGCTGCTGCATCTTTGAATGTCTCATTTCACTTTAACAAACTGTGAGACAGCTCAGCCCCGAGGAGTATTTAGTAATCAAAGGAGATCAGACACAAAATAACTGTAATAAAATATAACCTCTCGAGTCCATGTTGAGAAGAGGTGTGCGTGCCTGAACGGGAGGTCAAAAGGTCGTCGGACCAAAATGGAAAAAAATACTTTCAGATGAATGAATCCTCCTTTTCTTAAAATGTATCAGCGTCTGCAGTCTATACAGACATTTTAAACATTTAGTTTAGTTTTTTTATTGTTGTATCTAGAGTCAGACGTTACTCCTGGCACTCTGACGGCGTTTACAAAAATGATGAGTATAAAAATAAAACCTCTATTCTGGGCTCAGACAGAGGCGTGGAAGTGGGAATGTGATGCATTTGGAGCTCGTCCCGTCCGTGTGTGTGTGTGTGTGTGTGTGTGTGTGTGTGTGTGTGTGTGTGTGTGTGTGTGTGTGTGTGTGTGTGTGTGTGTGTGTGTGTGTGTGTGTGTGTGTGTGTGTGTGTGTGTGTGTGTGTGTGTGTGTGTGTGTGTGTGTGTGTGTGTGTGTGTGTGTGTGTGTGTGTGTGTGTGTGTGTGTGTGTGTGTGTGTGTGTGCTGGATGTGTGTATTTGAGTGTTTGTCCCGTTTCCCCCTGGCTGACCTTCTTCCTGTGAAGTAACTTCAGAGAGAGAGAGGCCGGCTAAATGAAACATGCATAATTTAGGCCTTCACAATAACACTGCCTCTGTGTTTTAAGTGTCTTTTTTACTCCCGTCTCTTTGCTGCAGATGAAAAAGTAAACATGAAAATTGATAGAAGCAGAGAAATCAAACACTCGCTGCCATCTTGTGTCCGCTTCAACACGAGCTTCATGAACAGATCTGAAGCCCACACACAGCGCGATAAGGTCAGACGTTTATGTCGCCTGCCAGGTTTAAGTGAGATCGTTGGCTGAGATGTGAAGTTGTTAAGAGACATGAACAATTTGAGCCAAAACTTAGTGAGAAATACTTTTGAAAACTCTGCTATACTTTATCCTCAGAGGGTTGTTAAAGGTAGAAGTGTTATCTTGACATGATTAACAGATGATACTGTTAGCTTTAAGTTTATTGGGTGGGTGTCATGATAAGATAAGATATACAATATGTGGACCATGATAATAACGATAAAGCCGTGATACAACAGTTTAACATTCATTGATATATTGTAAGAAAAACATTATGATACCTAGGAAGAAGATATAATGAGTAATTCATAATTGCTTTAAAATGTTGCATATTCAAAATCCATTTCACCATGTTCCTCTAACTCTAATATGTGTTCATAGTCTGTCTATAAACCCCCCAATCATGAGAAAAGTCCATCCTCTCCGTCTTCTGCCTGCTCCACTTTTCAGAAAATGTGTGCTCTAACAGGCCGTTTGGAGGTTTTCCCTTCATGACATCACAAAGGGCAGTAGCCCCTGCCCCAGGTGGGTGACACTCCCACAGCTAGGTGTTTGTTCTGCCCTCTGAGTCTGCCTTCTCACCGTAAACAACAGGACATGGAGTGAGAAAGCTTGAGTACACCCAAACCCTTCCAGAGAGGGGGCGTGGTCAGACACAGCTCATTTACATATTTAAAGGTACAGACACAGAAACAGCCTGTTCTAAGCAGGGCTGAAATAAAGGGGTTTATAGACATGATCAAATATTTACACTGGTTAACTGATCACACGAGTCAGGTCGGCGATATTTTGTCTCCCACCATTAAACAAGCAACCTGTGTTTGTTCTCCGCTCTTCCTCAGGAGTACTATTGAAGAGGCCTATGCCAGGTCTATGACCAAACTTGCCAAATCAGCGGGCAACTTTTCCCAGCTTGGGTGAGTGTGAACAGCTGTCTAGTAGTTGATGTCAGTAGATCTTGTCGTGTTGTTTCAGTCTCTAAAGTGTTTTTTATTTTATCGCAGCACTTTCGCTCCAGTGTGGGATGTGTTCAAGAGCTCGACAGAGAAGCTGGCCAGCTGTCACTTGGAGCTGGTGAGGAAACTGCAGGAACTTATTAAAGAGGTTCAGAAGTATGTGGAGGAGCAGGCCAAAGCACACAAGAAGGTAAGGACATGGGGACATTTTGAAACTTGTTCCCAAAACCAAAACACAACTATCTTCTAAAACTTGAAGTTATTAACTGTAAATGTTTTTTGGATGCACACTGTAGTTAAAGGAGCTCACTCAAACCATACAAAAACTCTTCAGGTGCACGTCCACAAAAAGACACATCGTCTGCAAACTCAATGTCCTTTAACACCCTTTAATCTGGGTGGAGCAGCAGCAGCAGCGTGCAGAACAAGTGGAAAAATGAAGCCAATGCAGAAGTGCAAAATACTGCAGTTCCTCAAGTGTCCACTAGAGGCTGGCTGCAGAAGCACAGGAAGTCACATACACACCTATTCAAAAAAGCCTGTTTTTACAGCAGAAATTAACATGTTTACAGCCTTGTACAAAAAAACTAATAAGTCTGGTTAGTTCATGTCTCCATCGTACACACTGATGGAGACATGTTTTGATGACTCATCCGTTTTGATTTTATGAAGGATAAGAGTTATTCACAATAAGACGTGTAGCTGACCTGATTGACAGTTGGACCTGGGGTAACAGTTTTTTAGGAGGCTTAGAACCCGCCTCAGCTCCAGCTCTCAGCCTGTCATTAGATTGACTGAACGTTTCTGGGCTTTTCATGCCTTTATTTGAACAATAGGACAGTAGATAGAGTGGGGAACGATGTGCTGGAAAGGAGCCACAGGTCGGATTCGAACCCGCGCCGCCTCCTCCTCTCAAGGACCTAACCCTCTGCTCACTAACAGACTCGGCTGCCCGTGCTTTAAACTCTGGTTGTTACCTCCTGAGTAAAAGACGCTGACAGAGTAGACTCCAAACAGAAATCCTCCCTCCACATGAAAATGAACATTAGATCTTAATAGTTGATTTTAGCCTAAAATAACATAGCGTGCAGTGTTATTCCACACAGCAGTTTGTATTTCACCCTGCTCTTCTACGTCTCTCCTCCCTGCTGAGACAAACCATCAGCTCACATCTCATGCATGAAGCCACAGAACACAAACTGGAAAAGGAGCTTGGAATTAGTGGAGCTGTGTTTGTGCTTTGAGCATGACAAAAAGGCTGTCACAGTTTCTCCTCGTCACTTTTTAAACTCTCCCTCTTCCTCTCTCTCCGTTTCCCTGATTTCTTGGCTAACTTGCAGATACAGTTTGCACTTGGCACGCTGAAGTTAAGCAGCGTGAGTAACAGAAAGTAAACACTGTTTATGAAGCAGGTGCCCACATTTGTACATCGTTTAGGAGCTCACCAGTGTTGTTGTCTTCTTTTTCCTGCCGCCTCACGTTCACATTACATCAAAAACTCCTAAAAAAAAGAGTTTTAATAAAATATGAACAAAAACAAGTCTCCAAACACACAAAAAACTGTCCAAACTACAGGTACAAAAAGTCTCTAAACACACCAACAAATTGAAATAGTTTATATAAAGAAGAAGAATTGCATGCAATAGAGAAATTGCTCCCATTAATTGTGTTTTGCATGCGGATGGTGCTTGGATACGTAACGATGCAGGCCAGGCTGGCATCCTCCTGCACTGAAAGAAAACTGTACATCTACTGTATACTATTAAGTAAATAAATAAACCCTGTGTAGTTCCTCAATTAAAGACAACAAGTGACCAGTGGTGGTGGGCAGAACAACTTTATGTCTGTGCTTCACAACTATCAACTTTACTGAAGGGCTGAGAGCTCCACTAGTGAACAGGTAGCTAACAGGACTACACTGGTCCACATGGTGAAAAAGAAATTGGTACTAATAGAGCTGAAGAACCTCCAGTCATGATGTAGTCCTCAATGCCGGCTGACTTGTGTTCCAACCCGACCTCGGCCCTTTGCTGCATGTCGTCCCCTGATCTCTCTCCTCCCAACATTTCCTGTCTCCTCTCAGCTGTTCTTCCTAATAAAGGCACAAAGGCCCCAAAATGTAACTTAAAAAAAGAGCTACACATCTGAACAGATAAACGACAAAATGACATTTTAATATCAAAATCAATAAAGATAGGATAATAACAGTACTGACTTTGTTGTGGTGAACTAAGGGGATCATGTCTTCTGTATTTGATAACTGTCATTTCGTCTTTCATTACCATACAACTGTCTAATGTCCTCCTCACGCAGGAGAGTAATGAAAGACTTCTGTCTGCACTGACATCGTGTCCTGAACAAGAGGCTTCTAGTCGAAGTTCTCACTGTTTTGTTGTGACAAACCAGACAAGAATGAACCCCTCAGTTAGCGGAGCAATGGGCAACACTTGCACTTATTATTCAGGCCCGATGTCAGCTGAGTCACTGCATTCAAACACTTGTGTGTCATTAGACAAAAGAGGAAGTGGCGTCCACCCTGGAGGCCGTGCAGAACATCCAGACCACCTCTCAGGCCCTGCAGAAATCCAAGGAGATCTACAACGCCAAAACTGTGGAGCAGGAGCGCCTCCGCAAAGAGGGGGCCACCCAGAGAGATGTGGACAAGGTGGGAGGTCACACACACACACACACACACACACACATAATCATGGTATGGTAATAAGGCATGATGAAGTGTCTTTACCATACAGAGACTTTAACCCCAAAGCTTTCACAAGCTTCAGATGTTTCCTCGCCCGATGTTTCACTTGATCTGGGAAGAACAGAGGGCCATTGTGCAAGTTTTTAAAACTTTTAGTGATAGCCATTTACAAGTGTCTGTTTATGTTTTGCAGGCTGGAGTGAAAGCCAAAAAAGCCACAGAGACCTACAAGTCGTACGTGGAGAAATATGCCACGGCCAAGTCCGAGTTTGAACAGAAGATGGCGGAAACTGCACAGGTATGTAACGTACAACATGTCCTCAAAAAACTCTGTGTGTGTGTGTGTGTGTGTGGGGTGTGTGTGTGTGTGTGGGGTGTGTGTGTGTGTGACGTTAAGTGCCCTGTATCATCTCCAGATTGTGTTTTTTCCTCTGTAACGGAATCGCTGTGGAAATCCTTGATTGAATCCATCTGAAGGTCTGATTAGATAAACTCCAAATTAAAATCAGATCAACAGATTTTGCCCTCCATATCCTCCTTCCATCCTTCCACCGCAGCACCAGAAATGGTTCCAGTTAGCCTCCTAAGCCCCCTACCCACACCCCGGTATCACAGTCTACGGCCCATCTCCGACGCAGCACATGTGGACATGAGCTCTAAACACTGAACACATGTGCTGTGACATCACCCGGGCTCCGACATGTGTGTTCTCTTTTGTCTGAGCGCGTCTGTCTGCGAGGCGTATGCTAGCTGTTATCTCGGCGGGATGACACAAGTCTCTGTAGTGCAGACGATGGAGTGACTTTGTGGTTAAAAGGCTCTTCTTCCTCTTCTTGAGTTCATCATTATTTATACTTTTGTCCTTGAGTTACCTCAAAAGCTCAGAGTCACTGGGCGCTGCTGGCTTAGTGGTTTGTGCGCGCGCCCCATGTATGGAGCCTGTGGTCCTCCAAGGAGGCAGCCCCGGGATCGAATCTGACCCGGGCTCCTTCCCCGCTGTCTCTCTCCCTGTTTTCCAACTCTATCACTTTCCTATCGCTACAATAATGGCACAAAAAGCCCAAAAATAAATAAATAATAATAAATAAATAAAATTTCATTCAAGCCTCTTAGGTTCTCCATACTTTTCTTCAAACTCAAAGAAGAGCCTCCGGTCTGAATATCTCTTAAACAAAGTATTTAACAATTTGTAGGAGGAGCTTTAAGAATTCAGACTCTTTCAAAAACATTCACTCCAGAAAATGTCTAGAAAACTAAAAGGCAGAGTCAGCGCACCCTGTTGCTTCTTTTGCTACTTCAGTGTCATTTTCTTTATGTCACATCTTAACTCGGGAGATCCCTCACCCCCCCAAGTGTAGTCGACCCCTGCTGGCCATCAGACAGAATGCAGGTTTAAGGCACTCTACTTAACCCCCCTATTCTAATGCAGTTTTATCCTTCACTTATTTGAGTTTTCATGCCTGAGACTGACTCCATGATGTTGATTTTCAAGCAGCTGTATTGCTCATAACTGATTTTTCTCTCTGTGTTGCAGAAATTCCAAGACATTGAAGAAAACCACATCCTACACATGAAGGAGATCATCCAGTCGTACTCGCAGTCTGTCGAAGAAACACACTCTCAAATCGGAGAGGTGAGTGTACACACACACACACACACACACACACACACACACACACACACACACACACACACACACCTACATTCCTCTGGGTGGAGTAGGTGTCTTGTTGACCTGAGGCTGTGCTCATTGGGTTCACTGTGTGTCATATCCATTAGCGTTGTCTTTGATCTCGCTAATCGTTTAACTGAGAACCAGGAAACGGTTCATTCAGCCTTTAATGCCAAGCAATTAAAAACTGATCAAAACTCCCTCCCAGCCGATCTGAAACACCTACACAAGTGCAAACACTCGCTAAATCCTGCGTCTGATATTCAAAAAGTTCTGCTACGGGCTTTGTTTGTTTCTGCAAGAGCGGCGGTTTACGTTTGAGGTAATCGGCATCAAATTCGATTAATTGTTGGAGCTTTCAAACATCATTTACAGTCACATGAATCCGTGTTTTAACATTGAGCAGAGATTTCTTTTCATTTATTTGTTCAACAATCACACTTACATTAGCGCCACACAGAGTGACTCCAGTCTGCTGCTCCGCTCTCATTCATCTGAAGAAGCTCTCTGCTGGGGAGGAAGCTGCAGTTCTCCTAATGTCCACAGAGGGCGACCACGCTCCACACATACATCCACAGTCCAAGCCTGCAGCTTGTGCGGCAAGTTGGCAAGAATACAGAGCGACAGGCTACCGCAGGTTATTCAGCCCTTTTATAGTTTCTGCTTCTGAACACGAGCGGCTGCCTGTTGCTGGGGAAAAAAAAGTTAGTCCCCCCCCCCCCCAAAAAAAAAAACAAGTACAAGAAAAATCTGAGATGAAGACTTTTTCCAAACAGGTTTGTGAGGCATCTTATCACATCAGGGTGAGGGAGGGAGGGAGGGAGGGAGGGAGCAGGGCGAGGGAGGCCGGGGCCGGTTTTTGACTCTGTTGCAGCGTTATGCTTAGTCACCGAGCCTAAAGGCATCCACGCTGTCAAGCAATCACACAAACACAATCGTACATTTGCATACACTTGCATTTAGAAGTAAGTAAGTTGTCGTGAGTGCTGGATTAGTGAGACTTGCGCGCACACACACACACACACACACTGGAACACACACTGTACACTTACATGTTGTGCTGTTTTGTTGTGAGTCATTTTATTGATGTTTCTGCTCTGAGCAACAAAGATTTTAAATTCAGCCTACAAAGTTACTTTTCTTGGATTTTGTCCAACATTTTTATTTATTATCTTTTTTTATAAATAATAATTTATTCTACCTTGTGATTGGTTCTATCATGAGGTGTTCGCACATCAAACTATCTCATGAAGTGGGCGTGTTGGACATCAAGCTGTCACAATATAAAAAAGAAAATCCTCCTCTTGCTAAGCATCACCAATTTATTTATTTTAGAAAAAATCACAACCCTCTTTGTCAAGTGTGTTCTCTAACAATTTCCCCACCATGATCTTAGGTAGACAATGCTCCTCCTGGTGTGGGTGTGGGACATTTAGAATATCATTTTTAGTGTCCCTTTTCATTTGGAAACAAGTCACAACACAGCAGTTAAGATACTCTCGAGCTTCTGTTTCATGCGGACTTAAAATCAGTTATCGCAGAAATTACTGTATTGCAATATTTTCATTATCTTGGGTTTTGTACCGTGCATCGTCTCTTATCGTATTGTCTCTTAATGGTGCAGTTATCGTGGCTTACCCTGTGATTCCCACCTAGGGCTGGGCGATATGGACCAAAACTCATATCTTGATATTGATCAGCTGAATGGCGATACTCGATATATATCAATATGTATTATTAACAGTGAAAACACATGGAAAATAAACTACCTGTTTGTGAATTTAAAAAGTAATATTATAAAATAAAAATACTCCTTATATACAATAAAAGAGAGAGAGGAGGAGCAGGGTGAAGAGGGACAGACAGTCAGTCATCATCAGTGAGATGAGAAAAAGGAGACCTGGCACCTCTGTAACGTTATTTTAATGAAACATAAACTATATCCATATTAACGATATTGTCTTACTCTATATCTTGTTTGAAAATATATCGATACATCTTAAAAACTTGATATATTTCTCAGCCCTATTCCCACCCTTACTAATGATGCTCTCAAAGCTGATCTTATTCTTCAAATAAAGTCATCACCATCCTTGTATGTGAGGTTGAAAGACCCAAGCTTCTTTGGTGTGATAACATGACCCTCAGTCTGTGGGAGAAGCTCGTCTTTGGCAGGTGAACAGGAACATCTGGAGACTCGGTGTGAAACTGTTTATCAGAAGAGAAATGTCCACCGCCCATCATAGACGTTGACTCTAGTGCAAAGTATTATTGGAGTTCCTGCAAAAAACGTTCAGCAGCTCTCACTCGCTGTCATGAAGGAGAGGCAGAGACGAGCAGAGATGTTATGGGGCATTGGAGACCACAGCAAAGAGAACCCGCAGGTGTCTCAAAAATTAACGTCAGCCTCGCAGGTATTTACAGACAGCGGCAATCAGCTCAGCGGGGATGAAGGATAAGAGGGTTAGAATGAGAAGATGAGCGGGGATAGGCAAGGAAAATACCTTATATAGGTGTATTAGGTTCAGACAGTAGAAGAAGAGAGAGGGCTTTAGACTCACAGAAGGGCAGGTGTGTCATAGCTTGCGTGCTGTGTTTGTTTTTGTAAGTGAGCATTTGTGAGAGAGAGAGAGAGCGAGAGGATCCCTTGAAGGCAGATGCATGTTTCGAGCGTGTGTGTGTGTGTGTGTGTGTGGTGTGTGTGTGTGTGTGTGTGTGTGTGTGTGTGTGTGTGTGTGTGTGTGTGTGTGTGTGTGTGTGTGTGTGTGTGTGTGTGTGTGTGTGTGTGTGTGTGTGTGTGTGTGTGTGTGTGTGTGTGTGTGTGTGTGTGTGTGTGTGTGTGTGTGTGTGTGTGTGTGACCTCCGTCGTGGCAGCAGCACCTGACAGATCGCGTGTGCTGCACTGAGCATACTTCCTCACCGCGGCAACCTTCCCACATCAACCCCCCCCCCCCAACATCCTCTCCCAACATCCTCTCCTGCCAGGGCACAGAAGGCTAATGCACTCCACCTCTCCACAGGGGCCTGGGGGGGGGGCAGACACATACGTGTGTGTGCATGCGTGTGTGTTTGTTTGAAAGTGGAGCCACTCTGTGCTAACAGTATCACGCACATCTAAATGGTTGTGGCGAGATGGCAGTCAGCCGCTGTTCTTCATCCACATAACCATACATCGCCTTTCACTTTCCCCCTCAGTAAGCACACAAGCACACATGCACATCCAAAACAAACAAGCAAACAAACACTACCCTTCCTCCGATACTGCCCAAAGGGCCTCTGCAGAGCGCAGTGCCAACAACCATGATTCAACCTGACACAATAGAAAGACAGTTAAGTACAGTGTGTCTCCACAGGCCAATCATGAATATAAACCTTATAAATACCAGATAAGAGCGAATCAGAGCGAGTCAAAGCAGCAGAGAGCGTTAAACAAATCACACCTAACTCTCAACACGTGATGCTAATCCTTTGTTTTTCTTCATTCTTTGAAATGCTTGCATACTTTGACACAAACTGTAAACATTAAGGTCAAACTAAAGCAAGCGGAGAACAATTCGTCTGAAGTCGTCCCCGCTGACCTTTGACCGACCACAATCCTCCCAACACAGGAAGAGCATCACACGTGATCAGTATCATCGTTTGTGATGTGAAAATATATCTGAGAAAGTTAACGTCAGAGAAGTGCGCAGAAAAGCTTTAAAGACATTTTTTTAAAAGTAAGGACAGGAGTACTTCCTGGACTCAGATTGAGTCGAAAAAACTACAAAATAAAAAACTGCAGGGCACTCTTTTTTTAAATCTCTCTTGCATATGTAAATATATGGAAAAATAAACACAGCCAGCTTTTTTTTTTTCTTTTTTTTTTAAAGATTTATTTTGGGCTTTTCGTGCCTTTAATGCAGAGAGAGGACAGTGGATAGAGTTGGGAGCAGGGAGAGAGAGGACAGTGGATAGAGTTGGGAGCAGGGAGAGAGAGGACAGTGGATAGAGTTGGGAGCAGGGAGAGAGAGGACAGTGGATAGAGTTGGGAGCAGGGAGAGAGAGCGGGGAATGACATGCGGAAAGGGGCCACGGGTGGAAGCGAACCCGGGCCTACTGCTCGAGACGAGAGTCTCAACACATGGGACGCGCGCCCTAACCGTTGCACCACCAGCGCACCCCACAGCCAGCTTTTTTTATTTTAATTTTTAGATTTATTTTTTGGCTTTTCCTGCCACTATTTGGAGGGATAGGACAGTGGATAGAGTTGGAAATCAAGGAGAGAGAGAGAGAGAGAGAGTGGGGAATGACATGCAGGAAAGGAGCCACAGGTTGGATTCGAACCTGGGCCACCCGCCTAGAGGAACACAGCCTCCACACGTGGGACGCGCACCAACCGCTGCGCCACCAGCGCCCAAAATAGCCATATTTGAAAGTTATCTTTTTACATCTTTTACACACTTAAATGTAAATAATTGAAGTAGATTTCAGTGTAAATGTTTGCAGTTTTTTCTTATGTTTTACACACACAGAAATTAAATGGGGGTATAAATGTTCACGATTCTGATGGTATTTTAATATATTCAACTTTTTAGTCACTGTTATGTTAAAAATGTTTCTCCTCCGAGGGCGAGCATGAAAAAAGGAAAATATGACAACTCTGCGTTAAAGAGAGATGTGTAACAATAATAATAATAATACATTTAATTGTAACGCACTTTTCATTTTTGCAAAAAAATCTCAAAGTGCTACAGGAAAAAAATTAAATAGAAATAAAAAACAAATTTCATCAACTAACTAAGAACTAACAAAACTAAAAGCACAAGCAGAAGGCTTTGTTAAAAGGTGGGTTTTTAGGGCCCTCATAACAAAGACATTATGAGCCAGTAAGTGGTGAAATCAACAACTACTGGTTGATCCACTTAGACCAGGTATTCGTCCCCCTACCTGCATTTTCTTTTTGTATCTTGTTATATTTTTAACATCTCTAGAGTTTGCTAAAACGGCTACCAGCTGACAGGTTTAATGCATCTGACTCCTCTGGTCATCTTTCAGGCATTCATATTTTAAAAGAAGCCAGGAGTAAGTCATATCTGTCGCCCTTGATCTAGAGAAAAACATTGTTTTAGAGTACGGGGGCTTACTTTGGGAGCCTCTCTGTAAATTGTTTTATACGTCAAGAATTTTCAATCAAGACATTCAGTATATATGTTTTGCTTCAATCCCAGAGCATGACAGAGCAAAAAGTTTGAGAACCACTGCTTTAAAGAGAGATTATGTGAGCAAAACAAACTGTAGGTGGCAAAAACAAACTGTTTGGCTGTGGCTCAGTGGTAGAGTCGGCCTTCTCTCAACAGGAAGGTCGGGGGTTTGATCCGCAGCAACATGTCCGATGTGTCCTCGGGCAAAACACCTAACCCCCAAGCTGCTCTATACACAGCAGCCTCTACCATCAGTGTGTCAATGTGTAGGTGTGACCTGCAGTGTAAAAGCACTTTGAGTAGTCAGAAGACCAGAAAAGCGCTACACAAGCTCAAGTCCGTTCACCATCGATGGATGCACTCAGAGCAGGAGCATTCGTCCCACATCCCATCCATGTAGTGTTAAAACGATGAAAAAACAACAACTCCCCTTTTAATCTGACCTTTATTGGGTGATCATGCTCTGTAAGAGAATTGGACCACATGAAATGACCTAATAAACTTTATGTTACTGATTGATTGCAGTGACTGTTAGTGTTGAAAGAATTGATCTTCTGTTACCACGGCAACAAATCTATCCAAAATCCTGGCAGCGGATTGTGATTTTTGAAGTCTGCAAGTTGAACACTTTCATGTGCTTTTTTCTTTAACGAGTCTCTTGGATTCAAAGTGAATGTTACTCATCAATAAATGTGTTTTGCATTTTTTTAGGTCCACACCGAGTTTGTGAGGAACATCGAGAACACCTCAGTGGAGAGCTTAATACAGAAACTGGCTGAGAGCAAAGGAACGGGGAAGGAGAGGCCAGGTGAGTCGCCTTTCATACTGTGTGTGTGTGTGTGTGTGTGTAAACACATCAACAGTCATGGAGTGCGAGCCTTTCAGCCTGGTCCTGCCCTGTGAGGGAGGGTGAGGGGTTTGTGTAGAGAGGGGCAATTAGACGTTAAAGAGTGCCATCAGAGTCAATCATAGTAATCTGCAGTAAAGGTACGCAGGCTCGGCATTCCAGTAAGCATGTGACACGGGGGGGGGGGGGGGGGCTTTGCTGCTGTGCTCCCAAGACTAAGCAGCCAGAACCAACCTTTTGCAGGAGGTCAGGGCTCAACAATGACTCTTGTGTAAACTTGGCCATGCCACAATAATCAAGGGAATACTCCTCAGAGTGCTTTTGGCTCTAACCCCGCCCCCTCACCTCCGTCTTTTTCACACACACACACACACACACACACACACACACACACCACCAGCTCAGTCAGTAAGAAGCTCTGATGGTTTTTTAGACCGTCCTGTTTATTCTTTTACCTGATAAAAGTCTTTGAAAAGACCCTCCGGTTTTAAGCTGTTTTCACATGTGCATGAAAATATCAGACTCACAGTCAGAAATTAGATCCAAAATGGTGGACGAAGCAACAGAGTGCAATGCTACAAAGACAGTTTTTGCCTTTATATCATTGCTCCATGTTTTTTAAGTGGACAGAAGGACATACAGGCGAGCAGGAAGGGTATAAAGCAGATCCATCACATGCACCAAAGATATAAGGATATAAACATCTTGACCCCCTCCTGCTCGCCTGTGTACAATTTCTTGACTTTTCTCACCATGACTTCACATGGTGCATTCACACTTGCACAAAAGTCCCGAAAACCTCCTGAAGTTTTTGGGTTGGGCTGCATGTGTAAACACAAACATAGACATATTTCACTTCAGTTTTTACACAGAATTTTTTCCCCCCCTGAGTAATTTTTTTGCATGAAGTTAAGAGATTTATGAACGCAGCAGGAAATATTCAGGAAAAAATTGACTTCCAGAAAATCAGAGGGCATGATGATGTTTACATATGCAATCTCCATGCTTATAATGACATTCTAGCTTTGCTCTCCGATGCTTTGTTTGTTCTTTTTACGTCATTGACATCCTCTCCAGACATCCGCTCCCCTCTGACCGGGAAATCTGATGCTCTGAGTTGTGTGTTAGGAAGATTTCAGGGACAGCATGCCTGAAAATGTCTAAAAATAGTTTGGAGTACTTTTGAGAAAACGGTGAAGGAGCTTGAAGGAAAAAAAAAAAAAAAAATGTTTTTAATTCATCTGTGTGTGTTCACTCTTGCAGCTCACCCTATGATTTTTATTGTTTTATTTTGCATGTGTGAAAACACCAGTTACATCTCCAATAACTACAGCGGTCCCTGTACTTGTACTACATTACGTCAGGTCAGCGGGCACAGAAAAGTCCACCTCCGCTGTGTTTGTGTGTACACAAACGGCGACCCCAGTGTGCAGATGCTGCGTCCGGGGAGTGGTGGCCCTCATTTGTTTGGACAGCAGAATTAATTGAGGCTTAAAAAAACGGTCAGAAAATTCCTCTTGTTATCAAGCTGTTCATTAGGGATCGCGCAGCAGCCCCGGCCCCCTTGTCAGAAAAATAACCTGTCTGTCCCCCCTGATTAAATGGCTGAACGGATGGCCCGGTCCGGTGCCTTCACAGAGAGAGAGAGAGAGGTTGAATAAACTTTCTATTGCGGAAACAATCCCAAAGTGACACGCTGCGAGGCAGGGGGGTTTCGGAGTGTTCAACGATATCCAGCTGAGCTGTCAACTGGCGGAGGGCCAGACACGCAAACTCCCCCCCCTCCCTCATACTCCCCCCACCCCCCTCCTCCCTCTACTACTCCCACTCCCAGTGCCATGTGAAGCATATGCAATTTAAAAAACCATCCTCCAGTCATGCGTGACTGCATGCTTCCCTCACAGAGAGGAGAGAGAGAGAGAAAAAGAAACATCTTCCCCCCTGTATAAACAAAGTCGTCTGTCTGTTTGGGAGATGTTTTAAACAGTTCCTAATGTCGGCCCACGTTTAGGTAATATTCATCTGTCTGCTGTTTGGACTTTTTTTCTGCAGTTTGGTTGTGCATAAATATTGTCAGATGCAATCGCAGGAAGAGTTCCTGCTCCCTGCCTGAGCCTTACGTCGACCCTTTAGCATTTGTAAAACATCCCAGAGCTTGAATAAAGAACAGGACTTGTAATTTTTCCAGTAATCCCCCCTCCACCTCCCATTCTGTTTTTGTTTTTTTTATTATTTCTCAGTGTGCATGTGTTTAAAAGTGATGCATTTTCTAGATAGATAGATAGATAGATAGATAGATAGGAACTTTATTAATCCCTTGGGAAGGTTCCCTCAGGAAGTTCAGATTCTAGCAGCAGCAGGTATAGAACACCAAAGGATAGAACAGCACACAGATATAAAAAACACAAGTTATATACAAATAATATACTGTACACAGTAGCAGCAATAGGCATGTCTAAATAAAATATATTCTATTCTATTTTCTATATTGTTGCCGTTCTCACCTGTTTTAATGGCGGCACGCTGACCTCCCTCACTTCCTCCCCTGAGTCCCGGAGCGAGCATGCCAATTTTGTTTTGATTGGCACGAAAACCCCCCCACACACACACAAACACACACTGTAACACTCTTTTTTTCCGTGCCGTCGCTGTGTATACTCGCCGGCGGTGAAGAGGCCCTGATATTGCACAGTAGAGTAGATCGGTCATTGGTGTACTTTATCCACTTCACTTGGCGTGATGCATGCCTCTCGTGACTCGCCGCTTCCCTGCGCTTTTCACTCAGCAGCGCACACGCCAAACAATGCGTCGATTCTGCTCGCGACCGGCATTCCTCTGGGGGAGAGGCCGCCGCTACTGTATACGTTCTGAGTTAAAATATCATTAGCTTTGTTGTTTTCAGGTCAAGGCATGTTAGCAGATCGGAAATATTGCCAGAGGCTGCAGCCCCCGTCTCCCTCTCCTCTTCTTCTTTTCTTCTCCCTCCTGCTCGTCTTGCACGCTGTTCGGCTTTCTAGTTATCTGTTTCTCTGCTGTTTTGATACCAACACACGCTGCGTGGGGTTCTAGGTTGTGCATTTTAGGAAAGAAAAAGTCAAGACATCTTCAAATTTGAGCTTTTATGGTGTTGTTTTCTATTTAACAGAATTCAAGAAACATGTGTGCATCTTTAGGGATGTAACGATTCCTCCTAAAACAATTAAAAAAGGATACAAACAAACAATCTGTGAGACAGAAAAAAATACATTTAGAGTATTGCAACTCTACCTCACATTACCTGCTTTTGACTTCACTCGTTCAGCATCATTAGCTGGAGAGAGGCACTACACAGATTACATTTTTACGGTTGGAGGAATGCTCTTGTTTCTAAGGCGGGGTTTAGTTGTGAGGTGACCACGTCATGGAAAAGACAAAAACATTGATGAACGACACAGTTGCTAAAACAATATGATGCTGCAGGTAAAACAGTGCAACATGAGGAAGCTTGAGACACCAAACGCAGTTAGAAGCGGATTTGAAGTCACATACACATGACTTGCAAAAGAGCCGTTTTTACAGCATGAATACAGCATGAAAAACCAAATAGGTCTGATTGGTTATTGACATCACAGGCACACACTGTACGGAAGATTTTTTTTTTTAAACGCCTCCGTTTTTTATTTTATAAACGATACATGTTATCCATAGTTAGGCACGTAGCTGACATGATTGACAGGTGGGCGCGATGTAACTGTTCATCCAGAGGCTTAAAACCCGCCTCAGCTCCAGCTCTCAGCCTGTCATTAGGTTGACTGAAAGTTAGACTGAGACAGCATTTCTAACATGGCGGCTGCTGCCAATGAGCCTCCAGCGCCCCCTGCAGGAACAGATGGGTGACGTCACTCAGGCTTCATCCATTAATATTTACAGTGTATTGTTGTAATCCATATAGCACCCTCTGCTGGTGACAGCCAGAAAGAGAACTGCTAGTGGAATACAATGAAGCTCAAATGAAATGCTAATTGACTGGTGAATAAATCTAGTGATATCGGTGCATAGCTGCAATAAAATTAGCATATACAGATAGTCTTTGGATATTCTAAAATCGGCCGATATTATCAGCTGGGCTCCAGGTGAAATGAAAATGAAAACTCAATGAATTGCCCAGCCGTAAAGTATTGTGTCATGAGTTTTGTGTATTGTTACGTCCCTCTGCATCACTGCTCTTTGGGAGTAGAAATAAAACTTAACTTAGATGTTACACTTATGCAACAGTTAGTTTCATGGTGTTGCAGAGTTGTCTCTCCCTCCTTTAATACAGAATAATAACATCTCACAGACACCAACAGCCCAACCTCCCCGATCCCTCTGATTGACACGCACCCTCATTGCATGTCTTGCCTCTGGTTTTTGCTCCAGCCTTCTTTTAGCGTGTGTGTGTGTGTACATTAAAGTGCCCGTCCCCTCCTTTCTAAAAAAACCCTATTAATGTTTCTGGAGGCACATTTGATGCGTGACAGTTCTCCGAGACGTGCAGGAGGGAGTCCGGGAAGAGATGGATGTGTATAATTGATGAGCATTAAATTAAGTGTAAACGTTGTTGTTTTTCTCTGGATGACGTATCTCCATAACCAAAAGCAATGTTATGTTTTTAGGAGATAAAAAGGCTGGTTGTGCTCCAAGTCATGTTCCAGCAGTGGGTTGGAATTCGATGTGACAATTTGTTAGTTCAATCTATTAATCAAGGCGGGCCGCGATTATTCCGAGTGGCTTTGAGTGTTCGTGCAGGCTGCGTCGTGTGTGTGTGTGTGTGTGTGTGTGTGTGTGTGTGTGTGTGTGTGTGTTTGTTTTATGTATGCTCTGTTTTTTCTTCTTTTTCTGGCATGCAACAGAGAGAGGGGAGAGGGCTTCTCTTTAAGCCCCGCAGAGCAGATTTGTCCATGTGGCTTTAAACACTTCACTGCATGTAATCTCGACCGTGTTTGTCTTATTGTAATAGGGTTAGAGCATTTGCGTGTCCCGTGTGGGGAGGTTTAGCTTCAGCCCCGGGGATCCCTCCCTGAAGCCTCATGCAATCGATCATCAAGTGTTTGCTTTGTGATCGTGTGGATTTGTGTGCGCGTTTCCGCTCTGTAGAGAAGAGCTTTGTGGAGGGAGAGCGCTGCTTCTCTGCGAGGGCCACCAGACCCACAGTTGACTCTGCTATTGACCCTGTCTGCCCTGTGGGAGCAGACCCTGCCCTGTGTGTGTGTGTGTGTGTGTGTGTGTGTGTGTGTGTGTGTGTGTGTGTGTGTGTGTGTGTGAGAATATTGCGTGATGTACACTCACAGCTCTCACAGCAGTGGGTCAGTGACCCTTTCCATGCCAAATGAACCTAAATGAATTTTTTTTTTGTCTCATTAGGGCCCATTGAGTTTGAGGAGTGCAACGCAGCTATCGCCACTGAAGGTGAGTCTAAAGATGTTAATTACACGCTGCAAGCGGCGGGCGTGTCGCTAAGGCACAGCCTTCAACGTTTACGGCAAGTGGAAACTCAAATGTGAGATCTGATCATCAACCTTCATTTAAGTTCTCGGAGAGATCATTGATGCCAAGAAAACGTACATAAATGATAAACAACGAGAAATGAGATAAAACTACTACAGAAATCAAATCAATAAAAAAGCAATAAGAACAATCACAAAACAAGCTTGAAATAACTACAGTGATAAGTTAGTAATTAAAATCAAATAAAACAGTTACAGTCAGGTATTGGGCGGTTAAAAATAATATTTCTAAAGTGTCCATAAGGGATAAAAGTGCTCAAATTCAGGTCCTGTTGTAAAATGTCAATCATGGAGGAGGGAAAAACAGATTTAAAAAAGATTCAAATCATTTCATCTGTACTGGAAGGAATTTTCAGTTTTATGTATTTATTTTTTGTTTATTTGTCAGGGACAACATACTGTATGTCGTCATAGTTACATCTAATTAAAGAGCAACCAATGCAATATCTATCGACTTATTAGCAGTCCTCGTCCTTGGTTAGGCTCTTGACACTTGATACTCGGTAACATAGACATAAACAGCACACAAAGATAAGCACATAGATGCTTTAAAACAAACAGACACAGACAGGCAGATTGATGATAATGAATAAGAATGAAAAATAAAAAGTGCTCTGTCTTCATTTCTCTCTCCTGCTCACCTTGCAAGCTTTTCTACTTTCCAGAAATATCTGCTCTGATTGCAAACAGAGACCGTCTGTCTTCAAGTTAAAGCATGATTTTAAAAGTTAAAGGCAGAATATGCAGCATATATCTCTCTCTATAGATATATATATATATATATATATATATATATATATAGTAAAAAGAAATAAAATGAGTCTCTGAGTCCTGACTGTCTACAATGAGGGAGAAGCTCGAGTCCCGCTGGCTGTGTTGTTGTCAGAGCCGTGTTTACATGGACGGGACGGCCGGCTCCTCCCCTTGTGTATAAAAGCTGTTTTAGTCAAGAACTAGAGAGAAGAAGAAGAACATACTCACTGATTATTTGGACCTCACCTATGTGTCTGTAGATCACACTCATTCTGTGTCAATTTACACGCAATGAGATGCTACGAGCGCTAACATTAGCATGCTAACACAACAATGCAGAATGAGCCAACCGCAGACAGAGAAGCCTGAACCAGGGTTTCTTCTAATCTTCAAGCTTTTAAGCTTCCTAGAAACATCCGCTCTGATAGCAAACACAGACTGCTTGTCTCCCTGGTGAAGCACATTTAAGTCAGTTAAAACTCATATTTTAGTAAATGGGGATGAACTCTGGGCTTAATCTGTTTTTAATTAAGGTGCTAAACCCAGAAGAAGAAAACCATTTGGCATCCCAGGCCGCAGGAAAGACAAGGACACAGACTCAACGTGAGTGTTCATTGATGATCTTTAATAGGAATCTGAGCATGTCTTTTTATTTTCCCGTCATTCATCATGTGACACTTTGTCTTGCAGGGAGTCGACAGAAGTTGAAGCTGCTGTGAGTATAAATCAGAGAGAGAGAGAGAGAGAGAGAGAGAGAGAGAGAGAGAGAGAGAGAGGAGAGAGAGAGAAGAGAGAGAGAGAGAGAGGAGAAGAGAGAGAGAGAGAGAGAGAGAGAGAGAGAGAGAGAGAGAGAGAGAGAGAGAGAAGAGAGAGAGAGAGAGAGAGAGAGAGAGAGAGAGAGAGAGAGAGAGAGAGAGAGAGAGATCTACATTTGTTCATTCATTTCTCTCTGTTGTGTAGAACACTGCCAACGGTGCTCCCCCCGGATACTACGGCTCCATAGACATCCAGAACGCTGTGAGTGAGCCAATACACACATAAACACACACACCATACATACACAACACTGAACAAACACACACACATATTCATACACACACACAAACAACACTGAACACACACATACACACAAACAGACAGGCACACATATACACACACACACACACACACACAAAGGTCATATTTTTACCCAACTTCTACTTTTTTAAAGAAAAAAAAGAAACTAAAGATTGGTAAATATTTTCATTCTTGCATTTAATAAATACAAGTTGTTAACATAACATGTCTGAATAATTTGATACAGTACGATACATTATGTTATGGAACGATGAGATACGATACGATATGTTGCCTTTAAACCCGCCTACCTTCTCTGGTCAAACAAATCAGAGCATTCAGGAGCAGAATCTAAAGTTAGAAGGAGGACATACTGGCTGCTGCATTGTTGTCAGAGAAGCCAGCACTTCAACATAGCATGTTTCCTTAATGATCAGATAGTAAGATACCTTTATCATTTCAGTCAGATCGCTCCTTTAAGAACTTAATTAATCTAAAATAAGACATTGAACACGTTAAACTATGAGCCCAAAAAGCATTGATTTGGTTATTTATCACATTTGAATTTTGAAATGCAGACACCTCTCCTGCAGCAGGCCTCAGACCTTTTCCTCCTTCAGATGCTATTTAACAGAAACATTATGAGAAATGCCTTCTTAAGTCAACTCTTCAAACCCTGTAGGTTATTTCCAAATAACCTCTCATGTGCATGCTGGAAATGATTCTAAACTTCCTCTCTGCTCTGTTTGTGTTTTGCAGAACGCCCCACAGGTGGATGCAGAGGGCTTCTGCATCAGACCGGAGCTCAATGAAAACGATATCCTTTTTTTTTTTTTTTCATTCTCTTGTTATTTGTCTCCGTCTCTCTGCGTCTGTTGTTCTGTAGCTTCCTTAACTTTGTTTTTTTGTTGCGCTCACATGCCAAAGAGAATTCCTTCTACTCGTCCAGCGACTCAGAGGACGAGGACGAACCCAGGAAGTTCCACGTGGAGATCAAACCCGTGCAGCCCAACAACGGCACACATCAAAACCGAGCCACCATCGACGAGCTGAAAGCCTCCATCGGAAACATCATCCTGTCGCCTTCTACCTCGGTATGGCTTCACTTGCAGATTCCCAATGAGGAAAACCTGTTGCTGCTGCAGAACAAGTGTGATCTGCATGTGCAACACTAGAGGGCAACAGGAGAATGTCAAAGCTGTGTTAGAGCAGATGGAGACATCATCAAAGTCTACACCTCTCTCTTTAAAACTCTTTCCTTAAAGCTTGATTTATTTACATTGTTATGTCTTATTTAGTATGCGTGCAAAATGAAGTTTACACACATTTCAGGGATTTCCTCTACTTCAAATTTAAGTGAATCAACCGTTAAGAAAATATCAAGAACTCAGAAACAATTTCTGAAAAAGGTATCAGACAGTGCCACACACACACACACACACACACACACACACACACACACACACACACACACACACTCTCTTATGAAAACACACACAAACAAGCTGGACACGGTCCGATCCGCTGACCTCAGTCATGGAGCCGTTTCATTCAGCCCTCCTGTCTCTCTCAGCATCACTCTCCTCTGAAAAATAGCCGCTGCCATTAAAATTTAAAGCCCACTACAGCTTGTTTGCAAACATTCACCTCGTCAGTGTGTGTGTGTGTGTGTGTGTGTGTGTGTGTGTGTGTGTGTGTTGTTGCAGAGCGGCTGAGAGGGCACGCTCAGTGTCGCGGAGGGGGTCTAGTGAGCTCCACCCGCCGCTCTCCACCGGCTGCAGTGTCACGGCATCCCCTACCCCGCCGTCTCTCTCTCTCTCTCTCTCTCTCGCTCTCGCTCTCGCTCTCTCTCTCTCTCTCTCTCTCTCTCTCTCTCTCTCTCTCTCTCTCTCTCTCTCTCTCTCTCTCCTTCCATCTTCTCACTGCTGTTTGTGTATTTTTTTTCATTTCCTCGTCTCTTTGTTTGCTTTCACTTTTCTGGGCCGCACTTCTTTTTTGTGGTTATTTATGGAAACTTTTTGGGTTAAGTTGCTGCTGTTGTTTTATTTTATTTTTTTAAACAAAGGTTTTATTTTTTTCCCTCCTTTGAGTTTATAATGAAGAAAAGTTAAACATTCATCACAGCTGTTTTTATTTGTTACACGCATAAAGGACCCTTCTTTAATGCGTGTAACAAGTGCATCTTTGGGTGCCGTAGTGTTGCAACTTTTTTCTGCATTATATTTATGACATTCCCAAAGATTTCACTTTTTGCAGTGTAGTAAACATTTAAATGTTTTGACTTTTTTTCTTCGCTGTTTGGTTTAGTTTTCTGTCGAGACTCGAGCCCACAAACACTTTCTCGTCCTAAAAGTGCAGAACGACACAAACCGCCGTTTGTGTGTGTTTCTCTTTTCTCTCTAACTTCACATTCACAGAAACGTTTTTGCATTAAAGTACAAACATACATCCGAGGTGGTGACGAAGGTTTCATCATCTGCTGCGAATTATTCAGAGATTTTCTCTTCTTCTTCTTTTCTTCCCTCTCCTTGCTCATTTTTTCTGTCCTTTTTCATTTCTCCTCCTGTTCGGTTCCCCCCTCTGCGGTGTTCCTTTTTATTGAAGCAGCAATGGAAGTCGTGTGTGTGTGTGGCCGGCAAGAGCCGTAATTGAACCCATTTGCCGCTTAGCGCCTGTGGGACTAAAACCCCGGCCTCACAGCTCTACGCTGGTTAAACGCTTTTTCTGTGTCCCTTCCTCCTCCACCCCCCATCCTCTTCTCTCCTTGTGAAAATAAATTCTTTATTGAAATTGATGCTCCATGCTCTAAGTTTCCATCGGGCTTCTGACCCTCAGGAGTGTATCTTTCCTATCTTGTGTTGCTCAGCGTGAAGCGGCAGATTTATGTCCAGAACAAAAAAAAAAGAGTGTGTAAAAGGAAGTGTTGGGGGCACGCTCTCTGGCCGTCCCTCACTGACGGTTCTTACGGACTTTCGATGGACGGGTTTTTTGCGCTGCTGAATTTTTCACCCTAGGTTTAACGTGAGGTATGTGAGAGCGGAGAGCCAGTCCTGTGATTTACTGTCTTTAACTCTGAAGTGGAAAAACTTCCCCTCGGCCGCTGGGAATAATTCATCAAATACTTCTCAGCCCGTGAAGTCTCTGTCGGTCTTTATTTTCCTCGTGGTTTTTTACACACTTGAAATAGTATATATTATTGCATAAACACAATCAAAGGAGGTTTCAGACTGTTGCACTTACAAAAAAGAAAATTAAAAAAAGAGGGGAGAAGTTTGAACTGGCAAAAGTTGCACAAGTGTAAACAAAGAATAAAAATACTGAATTTGACTTTATAAAAGTTGGTGTTAAAAACGCTGTGCAAAGACTCCCTGCAGAGAATCATCCAGCATTGTTTTTTTTTAAAGTCAGAAACTCTCCTATCATCACCCTCTTCTAAGGCATTGGTTCCCAACCTGGGGTCCGGGGGCGCCTGAGATCTCAGAGTGGGGCACGAGTCAGCTCCCCATTAGATTTGCTCATATTGAATAAAATCATGTTAAATCGTTCCTGGGAAATGTTTTACAGAGGTCTTCTAGTGATGCCTCAATCAGCATTTTATTTATTCATTTCTTTATTATTTCAGTGTGTTATAAAAATGAGATGTAATCCACAAAAGGTAAACAATTAGGTCACAAACCAACACAAAGAAAGAAACCAGTGCAGACATCAGTAGACTAGAAACTCACACACACAAGCTGGAGGTTTGATTTCTGTTTTTGTCAACAGTCTGGTAGCTCTGAGATGAATAATTGTTTATACAGTGTACATATAAAAAGAACGCTCCACCACAGAAGATGTGCTCACACTTGCTCAAATGCTGCAAAAAGTTTTTATTCCATCAAAATCAGAACGTTTCAAACCGGAATAAAAACTGTTTGTGGAATTTGAGCAAACTTTCCCCCTTAATAAAAAAATAAGAAATAATTTTAAAAAAGAAGCTAATTTGCAATGTCTGTCCCTACTTTAGATGAGCCTTTAAAATAGATGTGGCTGTTGCTCAGTTGGTAGAGTCAGTCGTCTCTCAACCAGCAGTTTAGGGGGTTCGATCCCCAGCTCCTGCAGCCATATATGTCCGATGTTTCCTTGTGCAAGACACTTAGCCTCAAGCTGCTCCTGCTGCTTCCTCAGCGGTGTGAGAATGTGTATGAATGGAATTAGTTACATCTGATGGTCAGCAGCCTCTACCATCAGTGTGTGAATGTGTAGGTGTGACCTGCATTGAAAAAGAGCTTTGAGTATTCAGACGACTAGAAAAGCACAAAAGCCCATAAAACTTTTTTTTTGTATACTTGAGATGGTAAATACAAAAACACCTTCAAATGATGTTTCAGACTTGCTCTTCCAAATGCAGGACTGGAGAAGTTTGAAGTTGGAAAGAATAACATAAAAATACTTCATTTGACTTCTTTAAAGAAAATCTGTGTAGCCCTTTTTCTTATCCTACAAATGTGTAGAGGAGTGTTTGCATACGTGTTTGAGTAATAAATGTGTGTTTGTGTTTTCAGGGTCAGATGCGGAGGAATCAGTCCAGTGAGTATTTTCTCCTCTCTCTATCTGTTAAGTTGCTGTATAACTGTAAAAAGCAGCGGGGGGAGGAGGGAGGAGGAGGGGAGGAGTAGGGGGGTCAACTGAACAACTTCTCTGCGAGATTTTTCTTGGCCCGACTTGTTTTTAAAGAGGTTTTCTTTTAAAGAGGGAAAATCCAGAGACTGCAGCCAAAGCCAACACGTCGCCGAGTAAAAAGTAAATAAGTGTTCTCCTCGGCAAATGTGAGCTTGAAGGATGTTTCCCTCCTGCGTGACAAATAAGATTAATAGCTAAATTGTGTTTGGACATGTCAGAAATTATCTCTTCCATCTGCACACTGGCACACTTTGTTTAAAGGACAGTTTGGTGTTTGAATGCTGTTTGCAGCAATAAACGTACCTCCACCTACATGCAGCACATCATGCTCAGTGAGCTCTGGTAAACCTGGACTACACTGTAACACGTGCTAAATCTGTTAAAGGTACAAAAAAGACTTGGGTAGGTCGCTTCAGTCAGGCGCTCTTACACAGGCTGTAATGGCTGCAACAAGCCTGTAGGGGGCTCAGCAATTTGAAATAGCTTGGTTTTTTTTTTTTTTCAGATTATATTTTATGATGGGCGACAGTAGCTCAGTCTGTAGGGACTTGGGTTGGAAACCAGAGGGTCGCCGGTTTAAGTCCCGGTGCAGACTAAGTCTTGAAATCGGTCTGGTAGCTGGAGAGGTGCAAGCTCACTTTCTGAGCACTGCCGAGGTGCCCTTGAGCAAGGCACCAAACCCCCCCCAAAATGCTCAAGTGCTCTTTCATGTGCAGCCCCCCCCTCACTCTGACTTCTGATCCAGTTAGTGCCTGTGTGTGTATTTTTTTTTTTTAATACTTTTTATTTGATAGTTCTGAAGAAAAACAAGATAAACTGTCAGAATGAGCAGATGTACATTTGTATATGGTTTGTATAGAAGATCTACATATAAGTGCATCATCTATACAGGCATGGAGAAATACTTCTGTTAGATCATTCTACGACAGAAAAGAAGAGTGAGCAAAAAGGAAGGGAAAAATAAAAATAAAATTAAAAGAACAACAGAGCATATTAACTTATCAAATAAAGGGCCTTGGCTTGTTCTACTCTAATTGTATTTATTTATCTATTTTTGTCTGAGTTCTTCACCATCTGCTTGTGGCCTAAGTGGCCTGTGTGTGTATTTCAGTCTAAGTGTGTGTTGCATGTCTCAATAAAAGAGTGTTAAAACGGTTTCTTGCACAGGTAGCTAAACTTCTCTATCATATCTCTCTTCAAAAGCAACTGACTGCATTCATAACAAATGTCATTTTACCAAACACAGGAGATGCTCGTCTACCCCTGTCGCAATCGTTCACTTTAGTTTTTTTATGGTGTGTTACTGAAACATGATGTAGTACTCAAAGTGAACACCAGGGTGCTGTGAATGTGCGCCTACTCAGGGCATCAATAAAAACACACTGAGGTGCTTCAGTACTGGAGGAAAGTTCGACAAGTCCACAGGCTGAGATAAACACAAACATAGTTTTCCATTTCTAATGATGTTGTAACTTTTCTTCAGTTTATAGAAAGTGTTTTTCCTGGATTTCAAAGTTGCTCTCCTGTACTGTGCTCCCGTTGTGCAGCTTAAAGATTTAAGATCGATTATTTTCACAAGCACTGATAGATGTATACTCTACACACACTCAGGGATCACAAGAGTGTCCACATTAAGCTCTAAGGCTAAGGGTCCTGGTGAGTATGTTTTCACTACAGCAGTTAGCCTTTACCCTGCCTCCCCTCCCCCCCCCCTCCTCCTCCTCCTCCTCTCCCCTCCAAATATCTCCCCCCAGCCCTCATCTCTGTCCCCTCAACTGAGCCTTTCACGCGGCCTCTGCAGCCAGCTGACACGAGCTAACACCACTGACGCTGTGTCCTCTCACTGCAGTTTTTTTGTTCAGGATTTTAGAAGCATTAAAGGTTTTAAAATCAGGTCTTTTTTTTTTTTTTTATCTCTGGTGCTTTACGTGCTGCTTCAGGTCGCTCAAGTGAATCTGTGTAACACTTTAGAAAGGGGGTAGCAAAATCAGAAAGCCATGCTGTATCTTATTTGAAGTTGCAGAATGACTCCCCTCCCCCCTCTTGTAAAGTGTCACCAGCACATTAAAAACACTTCTTATTTTTGCAGGATTTGGGTGAGATATTAAGTTTTTCCTGAGTGAGGAAAAAAAAAAGAAAAAGGAAAACATTGACTCTCACTCAAATCTCACTGCAAATATCATTCTTTCACTTTTTCATGGCGGGCGGTTGTTCTCACTCGCTGAGTCCAAAACCTCAGTTGATATTTTTGGTCGAAAGGTGTGACGGAGATCGAACATGACTTTTGGCACGGTGTGTTTGAATACCAGCCCATGAAAACCTCTTGTGCCGGGGTTTTGGATTTCATTTCTCAGTTGGTGTGAAAGTGTTCTCGCTGTCATCACTCCAGCGTCAGGCTCCAGGTTCTTAATTTTTCTGTTTGTTTTTCTCATTTCGCTGCAGGCGATGAGCTAGCAAAGCCAAGAGTGCCAACATCATACGAGTAAGAATGAAAGCGTGCACGGCCGCCGTCATTTTCACCATGATTTTAAAGCTTCTGTAGAGGTAATTTCATCTTTAAAATGTTGCACTCTCTTCTTCTGCAGTCTGGCCAACAACGACCTTCTCTCTCTGGATCCGTTCAGTCCCACTCTGGCAGGAAACTCCTCTCTCTCCGCGTCCTCATCAGCAGGTAATCCCCCGACGCCTCATTTTACCCTGAATCCTGCACACATTAACAATTTAAGATTTTTCTTTCCTCTTTTATTACACAGCATCTCTGGATGAAAATGTGTCAAACCAGTCAGAGGGTTACAGTCAGGCCTTATAAAGGGTGTTAGTGGTAGCGGTGAATGTGGAGTCCAACACAGCTCACACTTGAAATAAAAAGACTGAAGTGAGATGAATGGACTGAGAACTTTTTCTTATTGATCATATCGTGACCCAAGTGTTAAGATGTTATCATGGGGCCTCTGGTGATTCCCACCCCTGATAAGAAGTAATTAGGACGACAAACATTTAGTTGATGCTAACAAGCGGCTAGTTAATGTTGAATATTGTGACCTTATTTTAAAGTGTTAGCGTAGTTTTTATTTGTGGGTTTGACCCAGATGAAGTTTATTTTTTCATTTCTGGAGATGTTTTTATTTTCTGTGTTGCTTTTTGTTTAGTTTCCCTCTTTTATTTTTTTTATTTGTTTTATGTTAAACACAATACAGACTGTACCAAGTGTCGCAGGTTGATCTGAACAACCAGAGATGGGAAAAAACAAATCTGTAACATGCACGACTGTCTGCTCCAATTAAATTAGAGAAACTTAGAAAAATGTATCCAGGACTTTCTGACACTTTTTTTCCTGTTGATCCAAACTCGTACCAAACCGTGACCTCTATGTTAAACCCCCGTTAGACATCGCTTTAAACTCTGGACCATTTCACGCCTTCATGCTCTGTACATAGCAGGAAGTTGTCTTGCTTTAATATTTGTGAGTTAAGTCAGGGTTGGTCATTTCCTCCAGATCCACTTCTTCAGATTCTGGTGTAAATTGTCTTTAGGTCCTGACAGAAATGAATAACTCATGTTCTCTGAAAAAGGATCAAAGTAAATCCATCATCTGTATCAGTTTGTAAGTCTGTAAAAACTTCAACCAATGTCTGCCACGAGGTACCAATCTGATGAACCAATCAGACGCCTCCCTGTCTCCCTGCTCGCTCTCTACCTCGTGTGCTCTAGCTCACACTCAAAGAGCGTCACCGATGACTTTAGGAGTTTAAACTGAGAGTTTACTGAGACGACGTAGTTTCTACACAATGACAGAGATGAGCTGAGGTCCACTTCTGGATGTAAGTGAGGGGGCGTGGCTTAAGAGGGAGCACAGAGGGGAGGCGGTGGGTGCAGACGGCGCACTGAGGGAAAGCTACTTTCAAAATCAAGCTAGTTTTTATAAATGACCAGCCCTGCCTTTAAAGTGTAAAACTGCCTCCAGGAGCTTGGCTGGTATCGACATAACGGCCAAAACTGTTTTAAAACATTTTGGATTTTAAACAAAGAATAAGTCCTAAAACAAACAGGAAGACATTTAAATGTTTGTTTTACTTTTGTTGCTGTTGAAGTTTTTGGAGACACACAGCGCCGTCTTAGTGCGATTCTCACAGCTCCGGTGCATGACACCCCTCTTTAAACGGAGTGACATTAGCGCTGACCCGTCGCCTAGGTTAAGCGTAATCCACAGTTAATTGGCACCTAGTTGAGGTCAGCGGATCGGCTATAAAGCCCACTGGCACGTATGTTGTCAAACAAGTGTCTCGTTACTGTCAAAGGTCTCGGCTTAAAAGTCAAAAGAGCAGCTCGCAGTGCCCTGATTAGGATACGTGGAGGGAATTAAGGGCCGGCTTAAAGAACCTGTTAAATCTCTCTGTGTACAGTGAGGCGGCATTAGCAGCTCCGAAAGCACACATGACGCATTAAGGTTTCAAAAGATTACACCTTCAATGAAAAGACGCTCACAATGATTGGACTTTCATACATTGATTTTTGCATTTTGATTTGTTTTTTGATTTGTTTTATTACGAGTTTTTCATGACTTGGTGTTTTATTCATTTGATTTATTTCCGTATTTCTTTTTGAACATCTCTCGTTAGACCTCGCTTCTCTCTTCCTTTCAATCCCTTCTTCTCCATCTTTACTGATGGATGACGTCTTTCTGCCGGAGGCCGCAGGTAAAACAGTGTGTGCTCGGCTTGTTGGAAAGAGCGTGAAGCACTCATCAACAGCCTTTCTCTGCATGCTGTTTTCTCTATCTTTACCTCAGATGCATGTCAGAGTATTTGTGTGAGTCCGACTGGTTTTTTTCTTACAACATAAATGCGTGCAAACCGTGTCAGGATTTGTTGCTTTTTCCCCAGTTTTTAAAAGCGTTGTTTGACCGTCATGTGCATGGTTGTTTATGTACAGATAAAACAGATAACTCCTCTCGAGCTACAGATTCAGATCCTCTCTGAGCCTCGAGAATAATATTTGATTGGTTTGCAAAATCTTAACTGCACAAAGACATGAACCCAATGCGTATAAAACATAACTGCTGTTGATGTCATCATGATGGACGTGATTTAGATAAGAGACACAAAGACCAACAGTCCATACTCTAAGTGTTGGTAGCAACAAATAAGTAAGATTTTGCCTCCAAAGATCGTTTAAAGCTCAGATCATAATCACTACTAGGCCTGTCCCTGACTAAGGATTTACATAGCGGCACCTGATTCGTCTGATTTTGCCAAAAGTCGACTGACAGTCGACAGTTTTATGAACGCTAAGGAGATTGATTTAAAGTACGAGTGGTTTTCAGAACTATTAATTTATCAGTGAGTTGATAGTTATACCAAGATAGGCGATGAGCCAGGAATTATTTGGAGAAAACAGACGTTCATTTTTTCATTCTCGAGTACACAACAAACTAAAATCTTCCTCAAAGTGACGCTAGTTTTAGGTGAAACCAAAGACTATAAAATATGGACGTAGTCTCAGCGACGTCATTTTGAAGCTAAAGGATGGCAGTCGCCATATTGGAAATACTTTCTCCATCTTACATTTGATCAGTTTATCATCATGTTTATTTCTGCTGTAAAAATACATATTTTAAAATTGGGCTTAAGGGGATTCCTTGTCTGTTGGAGCCAGCCTCAAGTGGACACTTGAGGAACTGCAGTTTTTTTTGCACCCTTGCATTGGCTCCATGTTTCATGAGGTTGCTGCTTGTGTGCGACTAACTGACGAGCGGTTGCTTTTCTGTATTTTTTTTTGTTGTGTGACTAAAAGTCTGATCAGTTTTACTCGCCTGTGTCAATCACGTCGCCCCCCCTTCAGCTGAGACGGCGCCCCAACCCGAGTGCTCCCCGCCCCTCGCAGAGAGCCTCGCAGAACAGTCCAAAGAAGTCTCCTATTTCTCCTCGTCCACTTCCTCTCCCTGGGATTCGCCAGAAAACCCTTTCCAAGCACTCAAGCCCGTACCAGCGAGGGCCCAGAGCGCCCCCATCACCCTGCCCACCGAGCAAGTCGACCCCATCAACAGCCCGGCGCCCTCCAGCCCTCCAAAGAGCGTCGACGCCTTCTCCTCGGTGTCCTGGTCCCAGTGCCAGTGGATCGCCTTCAGTGATGACGTCGCTCCTCCTCGCCGTCAGGGTTCGGGGGCGTCTGTGAAGGAGCTCCAGAGACTGCAGTCTGGCTCGGGCAGGTCGACTCGCCTCCTCTCTGACGACTCTGCCGAGGCGTGCGGCGGAGCTTCAGGCGGCAGAGAGGACGGAAACCCCGGCATCTCGGATGTCTTCTCTGGGGTCACGGATAGGGCGATGGCGGCTGCTTCTCTATCGTCCAAAATCTTCACTGGTAACATAAATATTGATGCGAGTGGTGTTTGCCTGAGTTTGGACTTTCTGTTTCACATTTTGTTTGATTTGAACTGTGTGATAAGTTTGTTTTATTTGTGAAGTTGAATATTTTTTTGAACGTTTTTCTTGTGTTTATGTCGATTTATTTTAAAGGTTTGCTTATCCAACTCACTGCCTGGTTTGCAAAGTTTGTCTTTAAGTTTCTTTTTGTCACGTTAGGTATGAACTGTGTTTTCTGTTTTTGATTTTCATTTCTGTAACACGTTTTTTGCTTTTATGGTTTTTATACTTTTTTTTTTCATGCATGACTGTTTGTTGCATCAAGTTGAATGAAACTCTCTTGGAACTTGTAAATACGTTGGTTTGCACTTTAGCCTGACCGATAGAGGATTTGGGTTATTTTTCTCAAAAGGGGACGATTGTAGATAAGAAGGGGGGCGTAGCCACCTTGCAACAAACACTGGTTTTCAGATTACCATTTAAACCTTGAGTTTAGCATATTGGCCTTCACCAGCTTCACCAGCAGCCAATGCGGTGAGATTTTAATCTGTAATAAAAAAAAAAGGCCTTTTCTTCTTGGTTTGAGCACCTATGTGATGATGCAAAGGTACCTCAAACGAAGCCTTCTTAAGTAAGAACCTCTGGAAAAGATGTCTACAAAGATGTATACGAGGGATGTTCCTAGGTGACTAATTCAAAAGTTGATCAATAACAAATTCACGTTCAAATTAGTAAGAAAAAACTCATTAAACAGTCACATTTGGGTCAAATTTATTCAACCGGGCTAAAAATGGGCGTCACAGCGTCTGAGAGCAAACAGTACCAAATGGGTTTTAGTGTGGCTAACATTAGCAGTGCTAGCAGCGCATGCCTGAGCTGAATGTGGTTACGTTTTGATGCTCTGGTGGATTGGTCTTATTCCATCTTAAATTTTCCCAGCCTACTCATAACTTTATCTAAATTTTCTTGATCAAAATCCCAAACCGAGGTGCTTCAATGAGATTCTCTCCGTTTACTGTGCCGGTTAATAACCGAGCCTTAAAGCGGGTTGAACGGGCTCATAAAGTGGAGCTACAGCCCCGACTAGTGGCGGGTGGCTGCATTACAGCTTAGACGCAACATTTAACTGGCTTTGTCGACCTATTAGTTTAAAAAATAATAAATTATTAATTACTGACTATTAATTCCGGTGGCTACAAGCAAAAGTGACCATTTTTCATCTGTAAGCTGGATAATGGTGCACATTCATACAGTACCTTATATTTTAGGCCACTTCTGGCTTGTAGTTTGTACCCGATTCCAATGCAGTTTGACTCTCTACAACCAGTAAAATATTGCTTCTTTGTCCGTGTTTTTGTGTAGTGCCACTTCCAAACCGGCCTACGACTCCGTTGACAGCTGGAGCCCTGGTGCCCCCACCTCGACCCTCGTCCAGGCCCAAACTTTCCAGCGGGAAGCTCACAGGAATCAATGAAATTGTGAGTTAAATCTCTAAAATATTTAAGTTTAAGTTTAGTTGCCTCTTTGTGACCTTTTAAAGCAAACATGACCATCACCAACAAGATTAATAATGTGGATTTTGGCGCCCCCTGTGGACAAACTAAAAGTTCCTCACAGGAGCTTTAAAATACATGCTCTGATTGTTTTTAATATCATCTTATTTAATCATTCAGGTACGGCCGTTTAGCCCACCCAAGACCTCGAACGCCAGCCCTCCTCCTAATTCTGCCCCTCTCGCCCGGGCAGAGAGCTCCTCCTCCTTGTCCTCGAACGCCTCGCTCAGCGCTGCAAACACGCCCACTGTTGGTGAGCATCCTCGGCCTCTGTCTTTTAATTATCTCCTTTTTTATTGGACTTTTTACTCCTTGCTTCTTCAGCTTCTCACTAGCTTTTATCTCTGCAAAGCAATGTTCTGTTTTCCTCTCCTCCCTTCCTTCCTTCCTTGACTCCTCTCCTCACAGGAGCTGAGCACACCTCCGCCCTCTCCCTCTCCTCCCCCGAGCCAGAGCTGCTCTCCCTCTCTCCTTTTTTCCTACTAAGCCAAAGTGAGTCTTCCTTTTTAAACTCTTATGTTCTCCCCCTTAAAAAAATTATCATTTCCATCATCTCCTCTCCTCTTCATTCATTTCACTTCTCATCGTTAGCACCTGTTAGCTCCTAGCTTCCCACACCTGTGCAGGCAGATCAGTGCTTACCTTCAAGCGTCACACATTGGTGTCACTGTCAGCATCATCTCTCCTCACATTGTCTGGGTTTGTTTATCTCCTCTTTCCTTCTTCACACCTTAAATGTGATGTAAAGAGGACGATGTGTTCATAGCGAAGCTGCCTACCTTTGAGAAGCGATGTGAGACACCTGCAGGTATGATGAACCTTCAAACGAGAAGACTCTCCTATCTGTATGTTACTAAAACTAACCAACACCAGCCTGCTGGACGAGCAGGATGAACAACTGGATGTCTTGCTTTGACATGATTGCGTTTCTCCATATTCACATTTTATTCTCACACCTGTCTTCTTGTCAACAACATCAACACCTAACATTTCAAATATTTGATTTCTAAATGATGTGCCTTGACTTTTTTGACTTGTGAATTTTGTTGGAATCTAGTCTGGTTATATTCTGACCATCTAATGAGTCTTGATTTGATACTATATCAGTCTCTCCAGAAGGTTGCAATGTTTGGAAAGTTTACACAAATTCAACCAATCCCTGCAACATTTTCAGCGACCATGCAGTTGACTAGCTCAGAAAGGGGGCATGTGTAGTGCATAATCTAATTTTCTTTGAGTTTAATGACAGTTTTACACATTTTCAGTCTTCATTTTGACTCAGAAGTTGACTGCAGATGACCTCAGGAGACGAACATTTCACTCAGACAATAGATCATTGGATGGGTTTTTGTGAGATGTTTAACTTGTAACTGCAACAAAGCAAAAACAACTTAAACATTGCAGCTTGCATTCCAATTCTTTCAAGAATTTGCAGTGAAATTTGGCGTTTTAAGTCGACACAACGACAGAATATGTCCTGGAGAGGCTCCTCTACAATGACCCTTATTTCAGTTTTTCCCCCGTATGACAAAACGTATTGACTCGCAATGCATTAATGTTTTGCTTCAATCTAATGACACAAATATTCTTAATAAAGATACTATGCATCTTTGCATGATTAAACCTTAAATTTGACGTTTACGTTGTTCAAATAAGGACATTTACTCTTACTCTCTTTATGTAAAAAGCTTGTAAGCAGAGATATTGCTAATGTGGCTTTGTTCTTAAGGCCATGTGTCCACCTAGCGTTTTTTCCTGGGCAAAATAGCGCTGACTGTGCGCTCATGAGCTCTTGCATGAAGCGTTTGTGCGTTGAGATGAACAAAGCTGCACGTCTGTTCTGTCTCTATGACAACAGTTTGTTGACAACGGCCGCAATATGACCGGCACTTCACCTTTACTCTTTGCTGCATGTATATATTATTTAATATTATATATTTGAGATCGAGGCAAAATAACAGGGAATATCTTAGGTTTTGGAAAAGAGCGCCGGTGACATCAACAGCACCTTTTTGAAAAGTTCAATGATTTTCAACTTGAGCGCTCCGAGCGTCCGCACAAAAAAGACTCATAATAAAGATGCTGGGCGCTGCGCTTTTTCTCTGGATGGCCGCCTGCTGCTGCGAGCGCTCTACACATTGAAAACAATTGAAAAAAAAGACGCTAGCTCCCGGGGAAAAAAAACGCTAGATGGACAAACCCTTATTCAATTAGCAAAAATAAATATCCGAGAAGCAGAACATTTACAATTTTGTCAATTTACTGACAATTTTCAAAATAAAATGCAGAACATGTTTTTGCTCGAGCTTCTTTAACTGGAGTGGTTTGTTTCTTGTTTGTATATCAAAGCTTAAATTTCAGCTTTTCCCCACGATTAACAGAATGTGCTGACTCAGAATGCATTCCTGTCTTGCTGAAATGTGATAACAAAACGATTCGATGCATCTCTGCATGATCCACAACTTTCATACTTTGACTGTCATAAAAGTCTGACCTGCAAGCCGAAAACCTTAAACTCTTTCTCTCTCCTTCTCAGGGACATCTCGCGGTCCCAGCCCTGTGACCCTGGCATCCCAAGATGCTTTGCCCATTGCCGTGGCCTTCACAGAATCGGTTAATGCTTACTTCAAAGGAGCTGATCCCACTAAGTGAGTCTCACATGACCTCCAGCCGCTCAAAGGCCCCCGACTCAGACCTGCACGCATACACATTGTTTTGTCCATATTTGACCCTAAAACCATAAGAGTACATGGTTTCCTGCACCTCATGGGGTATTACCCAGCATGCACTCTGCCAAACGCACCAACCAAAGGGCTTCTGAGCAGAGTGTTAGCGCCTGTGTTGGAATGTTTTGCGTTAGTCTGACACCATTCTTTCAGAGTGGATAACCTACATGAGGCAGATTATAGTGCGGGGCAGAGAAAACATGCAGCCGTTTTATTGGTTAACTGCTGCTAAATTGCTGCTCTGCAAAAGGCTTATTTATGCAGGGATTAGCAAATGGAACATTTCAGAAGCAATGCAGCGGAGACACGGTGCGAGGTGGTGTGTAACCACCGCGGCTGAGGCTGACCGCAAGAGGAGGAAGACTTTGACTCGATGCAGGATTTTTATTAAACTGTAGAAACATGTCGATGTATATGAAGAAAAGGGAGGGTGAAGGTGTGTTAAAGCTGGGCCAGTATGTCCACTATCGGCTCCAAAAATCAAATGAGCCCCAAAGGAAAGAAAAGACCTCTAAAAAAAACATTCAAGACATGCATGACCCCCCTCAAAAACATTTACCTGTGCATGTCCACTCCAGACTCTGGTACTTATCTGATACTTAGAAAAAACAAACGTCTGTGGTGCAGATGGCTTAACGCTTAGGGTTAGGGTTTAATCCCCCTGTACGGAGACGTAGTCCTTCAAGCGGGCGGCCCTGGTTCAAGTCTGACCTGTGTTTTTTTTTACCTGCATGTCTCTCTCTCCTCTGATTTCCTCCTCTATCCACCGTCCTATCAAATAAAGACAAAATACCCCAAAAATAAACCTTTAAATAATGAATGAATTCTTACTCGTTAATTGGAAAAACAAGTCAGCAGAGATTATCATTATAAGACATTTGAACTCTATGTTCCCGTGGTTTTTCTTTCCACAGGTGCATTGTGAAGATCACCGGAGACATGACCTTGTCGTTCCCAATGGGCATCATCAAGGTGTTCACCACCAACCCCTCCCCCGCCGTGCTCACCTTCAAACTGAAGAACACCAGCCGACTGGAGCAGATCCTGCCCAACCAGCAGCTGCTCTTCAGGTGAGGGGGTCTGTTAATGTACTAAAAGAAGCGTCTGGAAACGACCTGACGACGGGTGGATTAACTGTCAGGAGTCGTGGGGGTTTTGGACTCTGTGATACCAAGCGAGGAAATGTAGTCTGCGTCAGTGTGAGGAAATTCAATTAGTAATGTGACATAAAGCTATCATTACGCTGTCAGGGAACTATTTTTCCACCGGCCAGGCTTCTCAACAGCGCCGTGTCCTCTTCTGAAATACTTCACGCCCACAGCATCAAACAGCTGCTTCATTTAAAAACACATACATCTCCTTCACCTCTTCAGTCAAAGAGCTCTAATGTAGACCTGAGCTCTCGGGCAGTAAACGTTTCAACATGCCCCTGACATCCTGCACGCCAGCTCCTCTTTAGAACAACTTCATATACATGACCAGTTCTGAAGCAAACAGGAGTGTAAATCGACTTTCTGTGTTCATCGCTCATAGGGAGCCGATTATCTGCAGAGGTCACTTCCTCCTCCCTGAATCAAACTAACATGGTGATAATAACTTGGATATATAAATTATAAATATTTCCTTACTGAAGTAGGGGAGTAAATCTGAAAGCTGATGTTCCAAAAATGTGAGAAAAGTTCCTGATGAGCTGAAAAGTGATGTTAAAAATGAGTAGCGATGATGCTGATTGGAGCACTCACACTCGTCAAACTGGACTTTGAGGGTGAAGTTTGCTCAGGCCCCTAGTGCGAGTGCACCCTGAGCTCTGTATGTAACGGCACAAATCAATCTGCCTGACTGAACTCTGTGTTTAAAACAGTCGTAGATCAGAAAATATAACAAGAAGAAATAATCTTCCTCTCAGTTTTCTTTTCTTTTAATCTATTTTCTGGTTTCTCTCAGTTATCCAAAGACAATATGTCTGTTTCCATTGCATCTGATGTGGTAGCTACTTGGATAGAAAAATAGTTATTACGTCCAATTGGAGCTTTAAAGGGCAATTATTAATTCAGCATCTGGATAATCCCCCGTGTGTGTGTGTGTGTGTGTGTGTGTGTGTGTGTGTGTGTGTGTGTGTGTGTGTGTGTGTGTGTGTGTGTGTGTGTGTGTGTGTGTGTGTGTGTGTGTGTGTGTGTGTGTGTGTGTGTGTGTGTGTGTGTGTGTGTGTGTGTGTGTGTGTGTGTGTGTGTGTGTGTGTGTGTGTGTGTGTGTGTGTGTGTGTGTGTGTGTGTGTGTGTGTGTGTTTGTCTCTTTATTCAGCGATCCTTCCCAAAGTGACTCGAACTCCAAGGACTTCTGGTTCAACATGCAAGCACTGACGTCCTACCTCAGGAAAGCCGCCGATCAGAGTCCTTCAGCTTCCTACTATAACGTGGACATCCTCAAATATCAGGTCAGTGAGCCCAGAAGACTCAAATACAAGAAGTTCAGTTCAAGTGTGCTCTCTGAAAACATACTTACTCCAAGTGCTTCATTAACAGGAAGTAAGAAAGAACAACAAAGACCATTTTCTTTGATATTCTGACTATATATAAATATCCTGTATAAAACTCATTTTCACCTTTCATGTTGTCGGTCTGTGAGACATATAGAGCAGCTTCTGCATGATTTGCAGCTCAAAATAACTCCTTAATTATCTGATACTGCCATCTGTAAAAAACAAGCAGGTGTTAATAAAGTGCAAAATACTGCAGTTCCTCGAGTGTCCACTAGAGGCTGGCTGCAGAAGCACAGGAAGTCACATACACATCCATTCAAAAAGCCTGTTTTTACAGCTGAGATGAACATGTTTACAGCCTGGTTCAAAAAAACAAATAGGTGTGATTAGCTCATGTCTGGATGGACACACACTGTACGGGGGGTGAATGTTTTGATGACTCATCAGTTTTTATTTGATGAAGGATAAGAGTTATTCACAAGAAGGCGTGTAGCTGACATGATTGACAGGTGGGCGCGGTGTAACGGTTTGTCAGGAGGTTTAAAACCCGCCTCAGCTCCAGCTCTCAGCCTGTCGTTAGGTTGACTGAAAGTTAGACTGAGACAGCATTTTCCAACATGGCGGCTGCTGTCGATGAGCCTCCAATGAAAGAAATCCATGAATTGGTAAAGACAGAGTTTTACACTAAACTTTGGAGGAACACTGTGCACATCTCCTATAGTCTCCTTGCAGCAGAGAATTTGAGGATGTATATGTTCTTTTTGAAAGTTGGACAAAATACTGTTCTGCTGTGTTCAGGTGCAGTCTGATGGGATTCATTCCACCCCTCTCAACCTGGCCATTTACTGGAAGTGCACACCGAGTACGTCGGACCTGCGGGTGGATTACCGATACAACCCCGAGTCCATGGCCTCACCAGGTCCGCTCACCAACATCCAGGTCTTAGTGCCTGTTGATGGAGGAGTCACCAGCATGCAGTCTCTGCCCAACTCCCTCTGGTAGGGTGTGCTGCTTGTTTTATGAGTGGGAAACATTTCTGTTTTAATTTATGACAGCAGCTCAACATGTTCTTTCTTTTCTTAGGAATGCAGAGCAGAACAAGTGTCTGTGGAAGCTGAGTGACATCTCAGAAAAGTCAGAAAATGAAGGTAAATCATCTTTTTCTACTCTGTTTGAAATTCTGCTGCAAATCAGTCAGATTCACAGAAACAGTCGATGGTTACTGCGAATCATTTTTGAAGACAAAAGCTGAATTTTTATTGCATTTAAATTTAGGTGGCAAATAACACAAGTGAAAGACATACATCTAGAGATTCCTTAAACGTTTCTGTTTTTCTTTTTTGCCTTCCTCTACAAAGGAATTTAAACTGGGTGTAAAGTAGCTCTCAAAATGTGTAGAAACAGACTTGGATTTGTAGTTTGGAGGGAATTTAACACAACTTTTATGTTGCAATTGAATAGAAAGACAATGCTGCATATTATGCATTTTATTTCTTGTAAAAGCTTTGTGCACTGAAGAAAGAGCTGGATATCAGTGAGTTTATGTTGTCTGTGTTTGGCCCCCAGGCGCAGGTTCTCTGAGGGCCAAGTTTGAGCTGTCGAACGGCCCGTCAAACCCCTCCACCCTGGCGGTGCAGTTTATGAATGAGGGGAGCACCCTGTCAGGAGTGGACATGGATCTGCTGGGGACGGGGTACAGACTGTCTCTCAACAAGAAGAGATTTGCAACAGGTACATGCTCCCCTTTATCGTTTGCATATATCTCATACTGCTTTATTTCTGTGTCTGTAGCTTTAAATATGTAAATGAGCTGTGTCTGACCACGCCCCCTCTCTGGAAGGGCTTGGGTGTCTCAGTGCTTTCTCGCTCCAGAAGATTTGCAACAGGTACATGCTCCCCTTTATCGTTTGCATATATCTCATACTGCTTTATTTCTGTGTCTGTAGCTTTAAATATGTAAATGAGCTGTGTCTGACCACGCCCCCTCTCTGGAAGGGCTTGGGTGTCTCAGTGCTTTCTCGCTCCATGTCCTATTGTTTATTGAGAGAAGGCAGACTCAGAGGGCAGAACAAACACCTAGCTGTGGGAGTGTCACCCACCTGGGGGAGGGGCTACTGCCCTTTGTGATGTCATGAAGGGAACATCTCGAACGGCCTGTTTGAGCACACATTTTCTGAAAAGTGGAGCAGGAAAAAGACGGAGAAGGATGGACTTTGCAAGTTCAGCTATAAAGTGAACCAGTTGACTCCTTTTTTTCCATCAGGTTCTAACGACGACTCATTTTGTTCTTCTCTTTAGGACGTTATATGGCAGATTCCTAAATTGACCCATCACTCTGGTTTCTCAACAAAAGAAAAAAAAATCTTGCTTGACACAACATTTGCGAGGCTGCCCAAGAACTCCGGATCCATCCGAGCACAGTTTTGCATTTCGCCCCGGCAAGCGAGAATCTCACTACAATAAAGCAGCACTGAGTATTGAACACTGTTTAAATAAAAGAAAAGAAAACTTAAGACGAGCTTTCAGGAAATGTGTAGATATGAAGTCTAAGAATGCTTTCTGATCAATTCACTTCTGTATAGTCTGAAAGACAATTTATGGATTAGATATAAATCTATATTGTATTTGAAATCATGAAAAAAAAAAACAAAGAAAAAAATGCACTAACAATCTTTCCGATGCTTCTTCTTGCTCCTCTTTGTATCCATCTTTCAAGAGCCTTTCAGGAATATAAAACAAAATCCACGTCTGCACGGAGGAGAAGAAAAGGTTTCCTCTCTCTCCGATCTGTAAATATTAACGCTGAATTTTCCGCTCGACCAGCTCTGACTCAACTCAAATCAGTTTTGTTTACTGGTTTTCCTCTCTTCCTTTTTCCTCCTCACGATTTGTCGTTTTTGATCATGTGCAATGAAGCGATGAAGGTAGAATCTGTCTTAAAAACCGTACTCACACACTCGACCTTTAAAAAAACAGGAAAAAAAAAAACCATCCAAGTGCTTTCAAACAAATGCAAAAAAAAGAAGTCTGACCTCAGTGCCTCCTCTTTTACTGTGGTTCAATAAGCAACAAAAGTGCGTCAGGGTTTTACCCTCATGTGGGTTTTCCAGATTTAAGTCACTCTTTGCTAAAATGCACAGAGGTCATTTTTAATAAACAAACACCTCTTTGGGGGGGGGGGTCTGTGATCGGTGCGGTTTTTCCTGTGTAAATTCCCCTTTTCATTCATCTTGTATTTTTTTACATTATGAAGCCCTCTTCATAGAAAAGCTGCCATTCTTCACTCTTCAACATTGCGTTGAATGTTAGCTGCACAAAAAAAATCAAGGGATGTTACCCATAATTCAACGTGCAGCCTGTTTTTAAAGAACCGGCGGTGGGTTTTTTTTATCAAACGTTTGTGCCCTTATGATGGAGAAATGTGCCTCAGTCCAACTTTTCTCTGTATTTGTTTTTTTTGTACGCTACAGCACAGTAATAAGAAAAAGCACCAACAATGTGCCAGTCGTGTTTTTTACTCCGATATTTTGGATGTTGAAGGGAAAAGAAAAGTTTTTACGACCCAAACTGTCTTCCATGAAATGAATGAATCATTTTATGCCTTCTGTGATTGATGATTGATTTCCTTTTTTTAAAAATATCTTCTTCTACTCATCTCTCATCCTAACACGCTCTCACTGTGCAGAAGACTGTAAGCACAAAAACAAAAGGCCAAATTACTGATCGAAATGCCTTAACACGACTACTCGACACTGAGTAATCCAGCATTGTTCACTGTGGTTAGATATAATGTGGCACAGCACTGCCTTTTTAGATTACCAACCTGTCCTGCCTCTTCCCAAGTGCATGCTGGGAAACAACTCTTGAAAGTCTAAACAGCAAAAAATGGAGGGATGAATCATAGACTGTGTATAAGAAGTGGATTTAAAGCCTTTTGGTTTGCAAATTATTTAAACTTTGTGTATCTGGCAAATCGTCACCATTTCACCAATTCTTGCACAAAACATTAGGCTAGCTAGCATTATTTACGAGTTAACTAAACTGTTAGCTAGCCCTAAGGTATGAGCGAACCAAAATCGTTTGCTAGATGACAGCATGGTAAGCTAACAGTACTGTTAGCTAGCTCTGCAGTATGTGTGAACCTTAAACTGTTGACAAAAAAAACCTCCCCCCACCACAACGCTTTAGCTAGCTTACCATACTTTCATCTAGCTAACAGTACTGTTAGCTAGCTTTGCAGATTGTGCGAACTGTCGATAAAACAGCCCCCGTCCCATCATCAACCAAATAACTAGCTAACCTGACTCTCATCTAGCTTACATTACTGCCAGATAATTCTGCACTATGTGTTTACCGTTTATTGTCGACTAAACAGCCCCAAAAATAAATGAATATTAGCTCGTTATCTTTACTGTTGGCTGGCAGACCTAGCTGTTCACTTTTCCTCATGTACAGTAATGTATGCTAATGTTAGCATTCATATGACAGCGTTGTCCCTCCTGATTTTAAGAGTCCATTTTAGTCACAGATCAAATGCAAAGCTGTGAATGCACAATTATCATTCAGATTCACGTCATATCCAACATGTTGCAAACCTTTAACGACACAATACCGCCTTAAAATAGAATTATAGCGACCCATCCTGTCAGCTGTGTGTTGTGATTCTCTCATGAGAATAATGGTTATAATGGTCCTAATTACCCGTTTAAAATCTTCGGTACGTCACAACATGGAGTTCATTCTGTAAATGTTATCACTGCACAAAAAGCAAGATGGCAGCAGCCAAAATGTCAGACGTAACACCCTCAGCCGCACAAAAAACCCAACGGGTAGCGTCACAATGGCTACGTCCACTTGATATATACAGTCTATGAGACGGATGGAGGTTTGCCTTATTTGGCTCTTGGTGCTTCATTCTTGCCTTAACTTATGAAGGCTGCCGTTGTCGTTGCTATTTTCTCCTTCATGGAGTATCTCAAGCTGTGTCGGACATTTACAGTACCATGTATTCGTCCTGAGATTGGTTTATGTGTTGGATATCAGAAGATGAGTTGCTTTGAAGCGTTGACCTTTAAGGGCTGGTGTTTCATACACTGTGCATCATGTGGCTACCTGAACTCTGAGTTAAGGTTTTAGCCAGAGTAAACATATGTAACAAACATTTTTTTAAGTGTTTTATATCATCCTTAGAGGGCGACGTTAAAGACTCAAACATTTAAGAAGAATTCAGAGGAAGATGTTTTTTTCTGGATTGGGTTGAAATGTCCGTTAGACTCACATTTTATATTTGTCTTTGAACTTTAATCAGCCAGTTTTGAAGGTAGTTGAGTTTCCCAAAAATCGTAGCACCAGACAGTTGCACAGTGAGAATTGAACTGGTCGCTCTCTGTTTTCTCTTAATAGTCTCGATAAGTGTTTTTTTTTTTTTTTGTCAGATCAGCCAAATGCGTTTAAAAAAGAAAAAAAAAAAGAAGCACAAATTTCTGTAATCGTGTTCAGTCTCAGCAAGCTGGTTCTTGCTGTCCCGACAACACTTTCAAAAATAAACTTCACAGGGCTCCTTTCTCCACTTTCCCATTCTTTTTTCTGTCTTTATATGTTGTATTAAAACAGACTTTAAAGAGAGCAAAATTGTGTAAATGATTCTCATAAATTGTACATTTTTACCAATATCACAGCCACTTTTTGTCTTTATGATTTCTCATCGTGCCTGTATTAAATGTGTAATATATGAATATATACAAATATATTAAAATGACTAAGTGTGTCCTGAGTGATTTATTTCCCCGCTGACATTTCCTAAATCCACTCTGCCTCAGCCAACAACCTGCTCTAGACACCGCACACTTTCACATTATTCATACCAAAAATGACGTCACATTGAGTATGTAGTACGTCATGAAAGTGCAGGATGTAAACTAAAGTGGCCAAATTTAGTACGATACAGCAGCACACTGGTCACACTAAACCACTGCCTATCCAATGCATGAGCTCGTCCCAGACAAATGCAACACACAGATAAAAGTCAATAATGCCTTAATTAATGATTGGATGCACCAGTGGAGGTAACCACATGCACAGACACTCAACACGCGTGTCTCATTTTGTACGGAAAAAGTCATTCATTATTTGAAATTTCTGCACAAATCTTTTTCGTCTAAGTGGCCCAACGATCAAAAAGATGATTCTTCACGTCGTGTTTGCAGAACATTTCTTCTCTTTCTCTCGGCTGAGAAACTCTTCACCCCGTTGAAAGTTCTCCTCACTCCTACTGACAGTTTAACACCTCAGGAGCTATTTTAAGAGTTAAAATGCTTTCTGAATAACCTTCCTCTGTACCAGGATCTATAAGAGTAACTCTTAGTATTTAGGAGGCTTTGTGAATAAGAGCCCCGTAGTTCAGTATGCTGTTAATGGCATTCTAACAGTCTATGCAGTATATATTGTTTGAGTTTGCAGTAGACACAGCCGGCGTCTTTTGATGGGCTGTTTATCTACTTCTACATACAGTAACCGCCTGAAAGATGTTGATGCTTTCTTCTTCGTCTGGCTGAGTACTCAGTGGCCATTACGTCCACCTGAGTAGCTTTTCAGCATTTTCAGGTCATCACTGGAAGCTCAGGACGTTAAATCCATATGTCAGGTCGACGAATCACTTCTCTTATAGGAGCAGGAGACTGAACTCTTTTACTCTGAAACATTTCAAACAGTCTCTTTTTTTAGGCTGGATTTTGCTCTAGCAAAGAATAAGGTGGCCACAGCCGATTGTATTTCTAAGCAAACAAAAAACCAGCAACATGGCTCAGCGAAAAAACAGGAACACCCTACTGTTATCATCAAAGCTCGTGTAAACACTTTATCCCTTCTCTGTGGAGACAGATGGCAGCCCGTGCTTTGGGAGACATTGCTGCTCAGTGGAAAAGGTTTTAACATTTTGAAATTCACCCAGAAATGACCTAAATTGACAAAACAACACTCGGGGATAGAGAGAGAGGTGAACTGGCCCTTTAAAGCCCTCTAAATCCCCCCCTAAAATATTCTGATTTGACTGATTAAACATTTTAAACGCTGAAAAAAGTCAGAGATGCTACGCTACAAGATAAAACAAATCAAAGCAGCAAATCTATTGTCTAGTTTTTTTTTAAACTATAATCCATGTCAAGAGGTTTGTATTAAACCCGGCACTGACATGCAGGATGATGGAGCATGAAACAAAGCCTGAAGACACCACCGCACATGTGTTGCCAATAATGCAGTGTTTGCACTGCGAGGGACCTCATGCAGCGCTCCGCTCAGGAGGATGTTTGCATGACTGTGCATGTACGATCAGCACTACATCAACACCTTGTGCGTATTTACACGCCTTGTGTCCGTCAGCGCTGAAGACCTCCTTCCTCCCTCCTCGCCGTCTGAGCGGCCTTTTCACAGCCACATGTGTGAGCCATCAGCGTCGACTGCTACTCCCCGTCAGCCTCACTCAAGACGAAGAGGAAGAGATGTTAGGGTCTCTCGAGGGTGATGTTATCCTCTCAAAAGCCAAAGAAAGATATGTGAGCTGAATTCGAATCCAAACGCTGTGTGCGTGTGCGTGTGCGTGTGCGTGTGCGTGTGTGTGTGTGTGTGTGTGTGTGTGTGTGTGTGTGTGGGGTCTGTCATTTTCCACAACCTTAGGGGATCAGTGACTCTGAGTGTGTGGACTGCAAAGGTTAATTAATGAGATTTAGTGTTTTCACCAGTGTTGTAGTCAAGACCACACTAACCGAGACCAGAGTGCTCTGAAACTAGACCAAGAAATGTCTAGACCAAGACCGAGGCAGGGCCAGACCGAGTCAAGACCAAGACCATAAATATAATTGAAGTATCTTCATCTTGTGTGCAGCGGGCGTGTCACTCATTAGACCGTAACAGTGGGAGGGTTGCAGTCTTAACCGGGGGATAAAAATCCAACTTTAATGAACCTAAGTTATTCTCTGTTTTGAGAAAGAGGCTTTTTCCATCTTATCACAGTGATGACATGGAAAAATAAGCCTATCAGTGGTGGTCTTGATTTAAAATCTGAAGTCCGCCCAGTCTGAGACCGAATAAAAATTTCGATTCTGAGACGAGACCTTCCAGAAGTGGTCTCGAGACTGATTTCGAGTACTATAACCCAAGTTTTCACACATGCAAGCAAAACAAAAATGTGTTTCCCTGGCTTGGTGCAGAGATGGCTCTGGTACAATTCACTACACTAAAATCAGTCTGTGTGTAAAATACAGATAATAATAATACTTTATTTGTATAGCACTTTTCTATACAAGTAACAAAGTGCTTTACAACAGAAAATAAAAGCAGAGAGACAATTAAAGCAACAGGCAGAGCGTAAACAAGCAGACAAAAATCAGACTAATAAAATAAAAATAAGAACAATTACCGAAATCACAGAGCAAAAGGATTTTTAGAAAAGAATGTCTTGAGTAGGGATGTAAAACAAGGGACTGAATCTACAAGTTCTTTGAGTCATTATGAGACGCTAAAAGTCAGAACTATGTTTAGCTGACTTGTGCGGCTTCTTCTCTTTAAGTTGCTGCAGCTTATGGTTCAAAGATGGCGGAAGATTTGTAGTTTTTTAGAACATTTGTGAGCTTTCTGATCAAATGTAAAAGAGAGAGTGATTGTAAGGTTTTAAAACATGTGAGTTACAGAAGTATATCGAGGTACCAAAAGGTTTATATCCTTAGTTCAAAGGTCAAAAAACTTTCTACCACCACGTCCAGGCGGGCTCACTATCTAGCGTGCTGTATCTCTTTTTTTTTTTAAAGATTTTCTGACCTTATAACAAGCTTGCTGTTGATTTGCTTCAAACATTTCTGCTAAGTGATAGAGAAGCTTTTGCTTCACACACATCAGAGCGCTGAGAGCGTCTGAACGATGGGAATGGACTCCTAAACGCTCGCAGCAGAGGGAGCATCCCAGCTCTGTTTGTCCAGAAGCCCACTGGAGCCATAGAGTTGAGTTATTCTACAGTCCAGAGAGCGAACCCCCACATCAGTAACATTTATGGACAATTTATAATTGATGTGCCCATTTGATCTCCCCTCCTCGCCGCGAGGAAAACCATCTGAACAAACAGGGGCGGTGTAAGTTTATAGCGGTAATATGGCTTCTTGTTCCGCTCGCTCCAAAACCCAGAAGACTTCTTAAGAATAACTCAAACCTGGAACATGTCAGACTCGACGTCCAGAAGCATCGGTCACATTTTCCACAACCTCCCGGTAACACAAATATGAACACAATTCAAGGTTAACCAAACAGACAGGAAACAAATCACCGCAAAAAGACTTTTGACAAACTGACTCCAGCAGAAGTGTTTTTTTGAAGGATAATGTTTGAGGATTTCTGCCTTTAATGGATTATTACCATGTAGGAATAGCCATGGAAACAACAAAAAAAATTCATAGACTGTATAAAACATGGACGTAGTGTCAGTGATGTCACCCATTGGTGTCTGAAACTGCATGACGAAGCCAAAACACGACGTTTCAAAATGTTAAATTCTGACTCCGAGTGTTTAGAAACTCTAGAAGAGCTCGACTTGAGGCGGCATTAAGCATCCCAGCAAACACAATGTGCTGATCTGTCAGACGTCTTGGCCACGCCCCTGATTATGCAAATGTAGGCCAATCTGATCGCCTTATTATAATCCAAATGGGGGAATTATTTAAAAAATCAACCCTGTACAGCTTTTACCAATGACTAATGAATAAGAGAGACCAGAACATGTTTTATAAACACATTGAATAGTAGCAGAGAGAACTCCCATGATTCCCCGCTAGCCTCAACATCATATTTAGTTATTGTTTTGAGCCCCCTGGCGGTGGATTTTACAAACTGTGTGTTTTAATGGGGATTCCTCGGCAGTGGAGCCATCCTCAAGTGGACATTTTGAGGAACTGCATTTTTTTTTTTTTTTCCTTTATTCTGAGTCAGCATTCCAACACGGCGACTTCCTGATGAAGGCTTCATGTCGAAACACTCCGAAGTGATTTTTTTTTTAAAGGTCCAGATGACCATGCTGTTTTTTTGTTTTTTTGTTTTTTGTTTTTTTGTTTTTTTTTCCATCTTCGGGCTCCATAATTGGGTCGGCCGTGGTTCAGTTGGTAGAGCTCCGAACTGGAAGGTCGGGGATTCGATCAACGCCCATACTTTATAGTCTGAGGTTCACACCCTTACCCTTACCTGAAGACAAGACCAATCTTTGTTTCCCTCCAAAAACTACTTCCTGGTTTATCTATGTTTATGGATAAACCAGGAAGTAGCACATTACAGTTACCTACTCCATAAACAGAAAGCTTCAGATGTGTTGACTTGATTTTAGCCAATTTCACACATTTTAAACTTCAGCCCCATCTTCTCTTCTTTATAGTGAATTTCTACAAAAAACACACAAACTCCCCAACCAGTCCTCCATTGTGACTGGATGAAATTGAATCAAGCCTTCTGGTTGGCTGCTTTCAGAGCACCTACTTTCTATATGCCATCGCCCCTCTGCTTCTTTCTGCACATCCAGGACACTGAGTCAGGTGATTTGTAAAGCCCGGGGTTAGGTTAACATGATGGACTGCAAAATCTGTATCGACTACAAACACACAGAAGCAGAAATTTAAAAAAAACATCGAGATTTCACTGTCGATTTTTTTTATTCCTGCTTTCTGCTACAAAGGTGAATGATTTACTCAAATCCTGATCCAGTGAGGAGACACTCCTGAGTCCCGTCCACCGGCAGAC